AGGGGTTCCACGCGGGTGTGTGCACAGCCTTTTAATTTCAAATAACAAAGTGAAACGAACTCACAGTTGACACTCGTCTCCTTTTATTCCCTTGGTAGTGCAGAAGCATTTCCCTGTATTTGTGTTGCAGACAGACGCGTGGCCATTGCACTTGCAAGCTGTTGAGCAGAGGGGAGAAAAAGATGCGATGTTGAATGAAGCAAGAGAAACAGATTCCATGGCAATTAAGTTCTTTAGTTGCCAAACTGAGATACATCAACAATTAAAGTACGTATGAAAACCCATTTGGTACTCTTCGGTTTCTTTGTGATACAGAAGGCAGCCAAAAATAGAACTGTGCGTCAAAACGGCGTGAAGTGGGCACCAGGATTGATGTTTTGTACGAAATCGTGATTAGACTGTGCTTTTTAGCCTCAAAAATTTATTTAACTTCCTCTCTTGTTGTTAGATAGCACTAGGGATGTCATAACTGGTAGGAAAAAGACAATATTTGGAATAGTTTGGGGCTTGTTAAAACATTTCAGTCAAACTCAAAACTCTGGAGAGAAGACTATTTTTGCAAATACAGCAGAGCTCATGGTGCTTTTAGCTAGAAATAAACAGGCCTTTGAGAAAATAATGCCATTATCAACTATGTCAGTGCGTCTGCAGTGCTAAATGGCTGGTGCTAAGAATACAATGTCCATGCTGTAAGTGGTTTGGGGCACGCGCCCCAGTACAGTTTAGAATAGCTTTGGTCTGGTCTCAAGAGCTGAACGCCACTGAGTCATGGCTGAAGCAAATGAGGCACGCCCCAAGACTACACCAGGGTTGTGGCATGTCCAAAATAGACCAACTCATATAACTCTCAGTCTGCTTGAGATGCGAACCAAGGTATGACAGTGGGGACATACAGGAGGTTTGCTTCAAAAGAATGCTGCTGATTCAAATTAAAATGCTAACGTTGACACATTTTGAGACCTCTATTCATAAAGAAGTAGAGGAGGTACATGCAAAAAAAAAACCCAAACCAAACCAACAAACAACAACAAAACCAACACAAGCAGTTGTCTTTGATGTAATGTTCACTATAAGTAGAACAACGGATCTAATAATTTTTCCCAGAAGGTAGGTGCCTTTTAGAAGTTGTTCTACCAATGAAGTGGAAGGTGTATCAATCTGGAACTGCGCATGGGAAAGTGTACAATATAAAAAGGGAAAAAGTACACAAAGAGAAGATCCCTCATTTGCAGTCCCTGAGCTTGCTGGAAATAGTACGCTTTAAAGGCTGGTGCCTCCTCGTTAAGAAGACATATGCCTTCTCATGAGTCACATGTGCCACTCAATGTACCAGCAGATTCTTAGATATGAAGTCCCCATCCTGAATATCCTTGCCAACCTTGAACCTTCTTTTATGAATCCTTTTGATGTCTCCTTTATATTGGCATGTAATGGAGGCTATATTGTGTCAGGGACACTTAATTGTGATTCTCAGATGTGGATGACTGGTTTCCTAGCAGCAACACGGAATGAAATATGAAGAAGCATAAAGGCCTATTGTGGGAACAAGTAGACTGAATGAAGATTTGACAAAATAATTGTATTCTGTGAAGCAAACACACTTCTCATTAATGGCACTTTAAAAAAAATAATTCTTAATACTATTGAGAATGCCTTGTACTGCCTTCCTTATGCTTCGCAAAAGGTAAGCAAACTGAAATTCAATCAATATTCAACACTAACATACATAAAAATTAGGAGAAACTTCAAATTTCATGATGTTTAGATGCAGATGACAGTATCTGAAACACTAACATTAATGCTTCCTCACCCCGATCTTTAGCTACATGCTAAGAAGACTGAACACTCAAACATCTTTCTTTCAAACAACAAAGTCTTATTTATTTATCCATTTTCCTATGAACCCCGTAACTGGAGATCATTCACTAAAGGACTGGAACACTCAAAAAGAAGAGAAATTTTCTCATGGCTTTTCAGACTACTCTGAAGTTTGGAAACAAACTATTGAGAAAATATACTAGACACCTCCACCAGAGTCTAAAGTTTCTCTCCAGTCTGATGCTAGAGCAGAAAGCCAAAATTACTGGAAATGGCTTTTCGACTGTAAAGCATGGTAACAGTCTGATGATGAACCACCTTGCACAAGTCTCCTTCCGCTTTCTTCACAAACCATGGGTCGCAGACTCACTCAGAGATGGTCACGGGGATCTCCACTCCTCTTCCTACATTTGTGATGGTCCAGCTTCCCAACGGCAACTGCATCACCCACCCGCCCAACACCATTTTTCCATGCCAAGTGCTTTAGCCATCCCCCAAAGCCCTGTGCAGCCCTGGGAATGGGGGAGCAGGCAGGACCACAGCAACAGCAGCTCGTCATGGGCCACCAGCAAACGCTCCACGGAGGCTTTCAGAAGCACTGCCGCAGCAGCAATCTGATTTCAGGCATAATAACGCCTTCTGTTCTCTTGCAAATAACTTTCTTATCTACCACTAGCATATTTTCATGTGAAACTTTAATCAGAAAATTCAAAAAATCCTGAATGCAGAGAAAGCACCTTGCAGCTATTTTTACATTTGATGTGCTGCATTTCCTGCCCTTCCCGATTGACACTTCTCTACGTTGGAGACTTCCTAAAAGCAACCGCTGAGGAGTGATTTACCTACCATTTAGTTATCACCTGCCCAGCTCCGCAAACACCAATGCCTATGATGATATGCAAACAATTCTTTCACAGAAATAACTGCAGATTGTCAAGAATTTTTTCAACACAAGCGATACAGCAGTATTCGCCTGCCCTGGTGGCACAGAGCAGCAGGAAAAGGCATCTTATTCTGTCCCCTCTTTTTATTCATCCCTGGCTTTTGAACCCCATCGCTACCACATCCAGCTCTGCATAGCCTTACCTGTTTAAAAGGCAACCACAATCCTAATCATGTCAAACTTTTGATGGCTCAACAGAATGGGAAATACCAAACAGCAACGTTGTTTCCAGCACTGAATATTTGCCATTTTGAGGATGTTTATGGTCCCCGTGCTGCTGGGGCTACTGGGCTAACACTGCAGATCTGCACATCAAAGTACACGGACTCACACTAGGCACTAAGTGTGAAAACGCAGAGATGCCTGCGCATCAGGATGGAGTGTACCAACAACCATCTCCAGTACGGATGTGACCGCAGGCTCTATAAACAGAGCGGCACACAGCATTACACATAAATGCACAAGGAGAGTGGAATCAGCACATCATTAACGGGAAAGGAAAGGGGGACCATGGCTCAGAGGAGGGAAAAAGCAGGAGTTGGCTCTTGCCCATCAGCCAATCCTTATCTGAAGATTTCCCCTCTGGAAACCTTTTCACTGAGCAAAAATTACTAATGGCCAGCAGTCGTGTTGGCTGCATCACGATGATTTCCTTGCTTTCCCTCTTCTGATCCACCTCGGTCTTTCTGCCCAGCTTTCTGCTTCCCTCATTCTTTCGCCTTCACAGTAAATAGCGTTAAATCACAGCAAATTAAAAACCTGGGCCCAAAGCACTTGAGAGCAAAACACTTTTGACATGAGCTACTAGTTTCATCAGATAACGAATGAATGCTGTTCCACAGTCTCTCAACACATTTTCTAATTTCTTTTTCAGGCATCTGGATGACTTCAGTCTATCATTCATTATCTCAACAACAAACTATTTTTGGACAATCCTCATGCGAAAGAGTCCAAAGAAACTTACTCTCAATTTCCACACACATAGAAAAGCGACAAATATCAAAAGGCACGTTATGATCCAATGATTAAACCTGAATGCTCAGAGTAGAATTATACTATTTTCTCAGGGAAACTCAGTCTCAATTTATTAATTCCTCCACTTCAAATTATCTTCACATAAAATGAGTTTAAGAATATCAGCAGTATTTAATCTCACAGATAACGTTCTGAAATAAAGTGTCAGAGATGCACCTTATCCTTTGTACCTGTGCCACTGTGCTGTCTGTTGTAATTTTATATCCCAGCTACTGCAACACTCTTTTTTTCTAGGTAAAGCAGCCTTGTTCCTGTCTGTGATCTCTTCACACCCTTCCTTGAATCTGCCTGCTGGGAAGATCTTCTTCATAGCCTCAAACATCACCTACTTGTTTTAGCTTTAGGAAACAGGACATCCATGCTCCAGCTACTGACTCTCATCTTCATCCAAAAGGTCGATGCTACTTCCAGTAAAAATACCGTTTTCCATTTGCATTTTCTACTGGATTGTCTCCACACTTGGAAGGAGCAACTCAAAAGTCTTCAATATCCTCTCATTAATCACCTTCACTTATTTCTTCTGGGATAACTACAAACCACCCACACTCATTTCATGGAAGTACTGATACTACACTGACACCAAATAATGTTATTTCTGTTGTACCTTTTCCATGACTGTATCTAATGATATCACTCCACCTAAATATACTCCATCAAAGTTCTCTGGAGCAAGAAGCAACTTCCCTTACATCTGCATATCACCTAGCACAGATGGATTCTGGTTTACAACTGGTCTCCCCATGCTATACTACAAAATCCACAGTAATTCAGAGTAATGTTGCAAGGTTCAAGGTCCAAACTTCAATTCTTACATGTTTGTTTCTCAGTATTACCTGTATCGGTCCTTCAAGAAAGATTTTTTTCCCCAGTTTAACTAGATCTTGCTCAACCGAAAAACGTTCTTTGGGCCAAAGAGTCCCAAAGCACTTTACAAACTTTTACAATTTTAACAGGGATCACCTAATTCTCGACTAAAATCCAGGCAACTCCTCAGTGAAATATGGCAAGCCTTTTATGAAGCAGACAATTATAACAATAAAAGCACAACACGTTAACCAAATGTAATGGAAGGTAGAATTTAGATAAGCAGAAATTTGTTCAAGACATTGGGATTAACACTGTTTCTTTTCAAAACAGAATAATCAAGCACTAAAATGAACCTATTTTTCACTGTGGTCATTTAAAGTTTACAAAGGAGGGTAAAAAAAAATAAATCATCTTTATCTTGTGCAATGAAAGTCAAATAATTTCATCAAGCAGTTTGATTGAAGAAAGAAGGATTGTGCCTTGTTTGCAGGAAAGAAAAAAATGCATTATCAGGATATAATTTCAGTCAAGATGGCAGAGGAATAAGTAAAGAGCAAAAAACATCAGACTTCAGCACAGGAAGATTTAAGGCATCACTTACGCTGACATGTTCCTCCATTAGTAGGATCACCGTAGTAGCCTGAGATACAAGTTTCACAGTGTTTGCCAGTTGTCAGATTTTCACACTTCTCACAGATGCTTTCATTTACACACTTACTGTGCCCATTACACTGGCAGGCTGAAGAAAACAGAAAAGAATGAGTATTTCTGCTCGAATGCAGTGCTTCACATAGAACCCCAGAAGCCGGTGCGCTGCAGAGGCAGAATGAAACCATTTCATGCACCTTCCAAAGAGGTTCTTGCAGTCTTGCTAGCGATACATGAATTCAAAGAGAGGTGTGTATTGAAAACCTGAAATTTAAAGCAACACACGGAAAACTGAACTCCAAAACACTATGTGCATTTGGACAGACAGGACTGGAAGCAGCTGGTGGGACAGATTTACAAGAAGGAATGGGGAAGAAAGGGTTTAGCAGCAGTCCAAGTAATTTATTCTACATGCATGTAGTCAAACCCATTATGTCAGAATCACCCTTCAAAGAAAGAATTGCCTTTCTTTCAAACAACCCTAAAATGAATAAATAAACAACAGTCAAAAACTCTGTAAACGTTTGTTGGGAAAGGAAAAATTTCCCTAGAGTAATGCATAGATAAGTTTGCATGCAGCAGATCTCTGCAGCTCACCCGCAGATACCTGCAACAACTCCTTCCATCTCAAAATGTGTCATTTCTTGTTTGTCTTCCAAGCTCTTTTCCTCCCTCCATTAACAGGGGGGAACACAGACATCACTACAGTCTTAAAACATCTCTCCCCTTGCATTTAACTGTTGCTACCTTTGAAACGTTTGAACAATTAAACGTTGCTCATTTACCTGGACACTGAATAAAGGACCAATTATAGTTGTTCTCCACAGGACACATGCTGACATTAAGGACCGGCTCCAAGCTGTGTTTCCCTGTTGCAGATGGGGTTGGCATCTTGACCGGACCTCTGTAAGAGCCTTCAATGCACTTCCCCTTGCCGGTGTTGCTCGGATCGGTGCACCACCCGCAGCCCGGCTGCTCCAAACAGTGAGCACACGTGCAGTAGCCTGAACAGTTTTCAGCTGTAAAAAAACACAAAAAAACAAACCACCAAATATCAAATTGTGGAATAAATGACTGTCCCAAAACACAGGCAACAGTGAACGCAGAAGCCCTTGTATTTCTTTGGTGACCTTAAGCATTTATCATACCAAATCTGTAAATATTTATTCTGATATTGACATATGTATGTATTCATTCCTACCAGTACTTTTATTCTAGAATCTAAGATAACTATCAACATAAAGACTAAATTAATCAGTGAGTTATGAAACAATGCAATACACATGTAAAGTTTTTCGAAACATTAAACACCACCCACTAAAACCAGAGGTTAATGTTCCCAACTACAAAAGGCCTCCAATGGATTGACAATGGATCAGATTATAAAATGAGCCATCCGAAAGCAAATGCTAAAAACCAGTTTCTTTACTCACTTCGACTCTCTTCTTACCACACGTTTTAATATCACATGCTACTATTTCAAGTATTTATCTGAGCCAAAAAGCACAGAATAAGAATACAGAACAGCATTTGTCTTCTTCGGATGCTCAGAGCACCACGTGCAGATCCCCTGGGCCCAGCAATGAACTAAATCAGGTGAAAAAACATCGCCACCCTTTAACAGTTCCTTTCTCAAATGGGATTGCATTTCAGGCGTGACAAAGTCTTTATATCGAGGAAAGTTTTTCTGTTCCTTTCCCAATGCCATCTTAAAAAAATTTTTCTAGATTTTTGGTGTTCTAAGATGAGCAGGCTGTCAATCTCAACATTTAAATTGACAATATTTGCCTTTAAAAAAAAAAAAAAAAGTAGAAGAACATTGTTTTGCCTTATTTCAGCTTGCTCATCTCCTGCCTGATGCTTCCTCCATTTTTTGACTTCTGGCAATATGGGAAGTTCACACTCACTAATTTTTTCCATCTCTTATTTTGCAACACTGGGCTACCCAGCTTATTCTCATCAGCTTCCAAACGTTCCTGGAGCAACTGCAGCAACTCAAACAGCCCAACTTCCCTCCTTGGGAACACAAGCACTTCACTCCCTCTGCTACCCCAGGAGATGTGGCTTTCCCAACTCCCCTGCTCACACTCTTAAAGAATTCAGCATAAATAGAAATAATTTCTAAAACTGTTCAACCACTTTCTAAATTTCTAGACTACTTCCCCACAGTTTGAAAACAGAAAGCAATATTCCAAAGCACCATAAATCTTTTGCAGTTTGCTCACATCTACCTAAAAGGGAGACAAAAAAATAAATCGTTTATTTAAAGTTAGAAATTCCTACTGTGGGCTATATGCAGACAGTATTTCAGAACAAAACAGTCATGGAAACCCTAATTGGGATTTGATACAGATAATCTAATATTCAATTACATGGCTCCATATATGAATAAGAGAGATACAAAAAAAGTTAATCACATGAAATTATGTAACAATTAATTTGAAGGATAGGAATTCAAATAATGAAACAAGTACTCCTCTGTTGGAAGAAAAAAAAAAATGGATAGGGATTTCATCATCTCACTTGAAAGCTCTTCACTATCTGCCATTTAGCTTAACTGATAGTTCCCGTAACCGGGACCTAACTCTCTAACGCTTTACATGATGCAGGATGGAGCTGCACACACTGCTCCTGGGATCAGGCACTTCACATTTTTGACAATCCCCTGGACAGTGTGACCAACGTGCAGAGTTTGATGACTTTTGCTAGCAAGTGTCTGCAAATACAAGACTCCAGCCCACCCGCCAAGACGCAGAAGCAATTACTCACGTGGACAACTGCTCATGGTGTACCACTCCATGCACTGCCCGTAGGGGAAAGAGGCCACGTAAGCGTTTGAGTCCACGCACTGCTTCATGTTGCTGCACCACATGCACTCGGAGCTGCCGCTGGTGCACTCCCCGCACATCGTCCGCAGGGCGCAGGGCGTGCGGCACTGCTTGGCGCTGTGGTTAGCTGCGGGCGAGAGGACGAGAATCAGCTTTCTTCCAGAAAGATATAGGTCACGAGCCCCAAGATAGAAAGACAGGAAAAAAAAAAAAAAAAGCCCCGTCTGTTATTCAGGTGGAAAAATAGTTCAGTATCACGGACTTGAAACGCTTCGTTTGTGGTGTGGTGTTCCTGGATGGAGCTGGAGATATCTTATACCACAGTGACTATGAGAAACACAGTAGGTACTGCAAAATCATTTCTCTTATTATGTATCCTCCATGAGTGTTAACATTTTTTTTTTTAAGGTGGACAGAAAACAAATTAAATGGTGTTATGAATGTGGTCTTTGTCTCTCTGCAGGTCTGTTGTGTTCCTTAGCTCTTCTCCCAACTGAAGTGTTGGGAAGAAACCCCACGTTTTATGTGAGCACACTGACGCGCGTTCCAAGTTACTTGATCGGTTCCACGCATAAAATGAGTATTGAAAGCAGAACTAACTCAGGAGGTTTCTGGTGTGAGCCAGTGCTTTATCATTTGTTTCAAATGACTATTCTCAGACCATAAAAAACAAGTTAGAGCTTAAAGCAATTCAAAGTGCCGCCAGATAAAATACAGAAAATTTTGAGTTCAGGTTCCGCATTCATGACCCGCATCCTGCACTTCCACAAAGAATGATTTAAAGTGGCGTAGCTTACTTAGAAATTTTATGTAATCAGCCAACTTTCTTAAAACTTAAAGATGCACTAATTGGTATTCAGAAATAATCAGCTAAAATAGAGACTTAACAGACCAAGCCATTTTAAGAGATACAGTTCCAACAAAGCCAGAAGAGTTTTCCCAAAAGCAAATAGCTTCCTTTTCAAAGTTCTCATATCTCCAAAATGTCTTGCCCAATTAATTTCAAACTTTGATAAAATCCTCTTTGGCTACGGAGCAGGGGAGGGGAGAAAGGGAAGTTCAATTGGAAAGTAGCTTTTGTTTTATTTTTTAAACAGGAGATTGCTCCATACCGTAATTAACCTAAATGTCACGTTCAGGTATGCAATTTAGAGAAAAATAATTAAACTATAACATACTTCAAGCATTTTACAGTAAACAGTGTAAAAGTAGAGCTATCTTTAAAATCTCCAATTCTTGTATGAAATCACTACACGTGACACTTTTTCAGGACCACTTTTCTTTGGCAAAGTCACGATGCAGCTAGTTTTAAATGTAATGAATTGGATCTTCTTTACTCCCTAGGAAATACAAATACTTATTAGTTAACCTGCTCCTCACGAGACACACAAGTTAGATACGGTTACCTGGCCTTTCACAGACACTGCCGTTGACTTCATTGATACACGTTGCTGCCTTCAGTCCCTGCTGGAAAGGCTCAGCTAAATAACCACAAAATCCAGCATCGCTTGGTTCATCGGGGAGCCACTGGAGCAGTGTGTTGGTGAAGGGAGACATGTCTTCCCAGCACCAATAGGACACGTTGATTTTCCTCAGTCCAACCCACGGAGTCAAAGTTTTGGGCTAGGAAGAAAGGAAAATGGTAGATTTAACACCCAGGTTTTTTTACCTAGGGTATTAAAAGGAAATACACATCACCGTACAATGCTCGTAACAACTTTGCTGGGTTAGGTGTTGCAAAAAATGTAGTACAGAAAATATATGTTTCTCAGTGCTGTCAGAAATAAATGCCACAGAGAGAGAGAAATCCTTCAGGAAACACCAATTTTTTTTTTTATTTTTTTTTTTTTTCCCCAAACTCCTGTTCTAGTTATCCACACCAGGAGGAGAACAAGTCAAACATTCATGCTGGCTATGAAATTAACTGCAAGTTGCTCTTTATATATTTGTGATTCCTATAAATGGCTAGACACAGGAAAAAGAAATCTGAAGCTACAGGTTGACACAAGGAAGAAAACTAGCAGTGCCCCGTACACTATAAATGATACAAGCTATCTAACTCTACAGTCTCACTAGAAGAGCTCTGCTGTTTGGGACTGTGTTTATATGGAGGGGTGGAGAGACAGAGCAGGTCAAATCTAAATTAGTATCGCTGGCAATAAAATTCTCAATATGAAAACCCGATAATACAACTATTTCTACTGGCAATTTAATTTTTGGCGCACTTCATTTAGAGGAGAAGCATTTTAACTGTATTGGTACAGTATGTTATTTTACTGTTAATATCTTTTATCCATCAGAGTGCTTTGGTGGCACAGCTGTTCTAGGAAAGCTTTAGACCATACGTCTTCTGTTACTGCTATATATAACCATCACCTACCTCAAACTGATTTTATGCACTTTTAAACCTTAGAGCTGCAACTTCTAACAGCAACGGGGTTACACAGCACTATGTGCCAACACCAACACATTTTCTTCTTATTATAAAACATCTATAGACAGCTTACTTAAAAAAGGAGCAACTGCAAAGCACAGCCTCCCCCAGCACAGCAGCCACGTGCCATTGAATGGCAAAAGTTCAAGCGCCAGACACAGCTTGGCTTTTTAGCAAAGGCATTTTCCCACATTAGAAGCACTCAATACTAATATCCACTAAAAAGGGCTAATAGTCTCTTTAGATTTCTAGGGCTCGCTGTTTAAAGGACACTATAGACGAGAAAAAAAAAAACCTGTAAATTAACAATTTTTTTCTCCCCAGTGGGTTCAAACACTATTAGGGAATGGTTGCCATGCGTCTTTAGGAATTTACACTACACAACTACTGGGATACCCAGAAACACCTGGAGCTGTAAGAGCCACATACTTTTACAATATCCCAGACTTGGCTTCCCCTCTTTACAAAAGGTTTAACAAACAATCTTGCTTTAATTGCACCTTACCTTTTCTTGGCTAAATTGAATCCCCTCTAAAACCCCATAATTGTTGAAATGCCACTTTAAAATTACAAAGGGAATCAAGCAGGGAATGATCTCCTTTCAACAGGGATATATTTCTCTTTAGCACTGAAGTACGTTCTCTGCTGAAAAGCAGCAATCCTACTGCCTCCAGTCTCATTTTTCTTATACATAAAACTCCTCCTGGTTGCCAGCTCTGCCCACAGTGGCCTCTGGGACCCAAGAGGAGTTACTCTGATGTGCCATCAAGCCACAGCAGCTCTGCAGCCTAACCCAGGGTTTCAGCAAAGCTGCACAGCATCGTTCTTTGTTAGGGCTTTAGCACCACCTACACAACCTGCCCTGAATACCTCCACGTTTCTGCCAAGGACTGGAAAAAATATATATTCATTTTATTGATGCATGAAGAGGGACAGATTCCAATTCGCTTCTCACTGGCTCCGACAGAAAAACACCTGCCACTACATCAAACGTAAATAACTCCAAATAAGCCAAACAGCTCTGTGGAATAAGAAGCCGACATTTTAAACAGCCACTTTTCTGAGTAGAATAAATAACTTTAAATGCTTTACATTAAACACCTCTGGTGCCCCAAAGGGACCTTTATTTATAAAATATTGTGTACAAGTCACAAGCGGACTCCTGCTGCAGTCATGTATCCCACAAGAGAAACGCGTGTGTGATTTCATTATAGAAAGCGATACCTTTGAGGCACCGTGTATGTTTGTATTTATCTTTCCCATTTACATTCCCTACAATTTCACTTCAAAAGCACCCATAGGGTATGTTGAATTTCAAAAGAAAAATCAGTCCTTTTCAGTTAAGAGCCATGTCTATTCCTTACAGAGCATACAATACCACAGCAAGGACTTTTCCACAGTCAGAGCTTAATTACTCAAGGGACATAAAAGAGAAGCACTCACCGAAGACTGCATCTTCTGCAGCTCTTTTAAAACAAATTCTACTTTTTTCTGGGTCGTGAGGGAAGCCAGCAAAGCACCATTGGATCTGCAGGACAGTTTGGCATGATCATAGTTCTCCTTCGCGTTTGTAATTTTCAAGCAGGAGTTGCCAACCAAATGCCAGTTTGTTCCACAGATATTTTCTAGGTGGGGGAGGAAAGAAAGTAAAACCAGAGATGCAAGTGACCTTCACAATGTTCAAAGTAGTGGGAGAGCTCTTCCACCAACATAAAACCTACAGCCTCACCCCAAACCATGACTTATCCACGTGCTCAGAAGTATCTATGTATAAAAATACCGGAGGAAAAGAAAAGCTGTTTAGGGCAGCTGAAGCGCAACACTACCGTTTAGTTATCTGCAGTAGGTAGTCAAAGAACTTATCACAACATCAAATAGTAAGACCATTGTAGAAGAAAGAGCAAAGGAAAGCAAATGAGTATCTTGCTGATGGCTTAAAGACACTTATTCAACTGCAGTTGTTAGGATACCTTTCGACAGAAGAGGGTTGTTGTGCTAATCCTGTCCACAGCACTGAACTTCCAGGATTAATCCCTGTTTCATCTTCAGCACAGCCATGCCCACTACTGAAAAACTCCTTGTAGGAATTACTTCCCCCACTCATAACTACCCTTACAAAAAAACCCGATAGACATTTTCAGCGTGAATTTCTCCAGATCTGACGTCTAGCTCTGATGCTTTGGTTTAGATTTACCTAACAGATTGAAAAGCTCTCAAGTGTCAGTTTTTCAGATGGGCTTTTTACACACATGATCAAGTCATCCCCTTTTCTACAACAAATTAAACAGACCAGGCTCTTTATCTATCTCATTAAATGATGTTTTTCTTGCTCTCGTCGCTCTTCTCTGAAGTCTTTTCTTCCCCTTCCTCGCCCCCCCTCCAGACTAGCAAATGCCAAACCCGGACACATCCAGACCTATCAGACTTAGTAGGGGAAGCCTTTCCATGCCCATTTAAAGCTTTTGTGTTGGGTTTTTTTTTCCCTTTGTCTATATTTTATTAACTGCAAATGTCAGTCACCGAAGATGATGTATTTCTCTCCCAGACACTGGGAAAAAAAACCCCACATTACTACAAGGGAACTAATAATCAACTCCTATGAGATCCCACTGGAAATGCTCTAATAAGAGAATTTTCCTTACACACTTTAGGTGTTATTTGCCTAATTCGTTCAGTATGTGCCATTACGCTTTTGCACAATTCTAGTTTCTAAAATTAAATAGCATGCATTATTAAATCTAATACCTTCCAGAACCCTATTATATCAACAGTACTGCTTTTATCAAATGAAAAGAGAGAGATGAAATACAGCCTAATAATTACACAAATGATCATGCTACTCTTCAGACAATTGGGACTGAAAAATATTCCATCAGACTTTCTGAGTTTACTAGAAATAAAGTTTCATACCAAAGCTGGTATGATTAAGCAACATTATTTACTCCAGCTTAGCACTAAAAGATCACAGACAAGGGATGGGGTGAGGGGGAGACCAAAGTGCAACTTTTAGTAGACTGGGTGAATTTGGGCTTTTTCCTTCTTACAAATACAACCAATACCTACCCGGTAAAGCGATGCACTCTTGATTCCTAGGTTCCCACTGACAGTTTTGATCCATGGCACAGCTTTTACAACTTGTCTTTTTGTTACAGTAATAGGCGGGGTTATCCTTAGGACAATTGTCATATAGAGTAATAGGAACCTAAAATAAATAGCACAGATGAGACTTTTTCCCCATTCAACCAATGTTGGTTTACAACAGCCATAATGACTACCACACTAAACTTCACAGTTCAGACCTACCAAGCAACTGATATATTCAAAAGCTGGGACACTGGACATAGACTGCACTGTGTATTCAAGATATTCCCCCAGGCCACCATCTGACACATTTTCCTTACTAGAGCTTTTACAAAAGGATTAGTTTTGGGTTGGTTTTTTTTTTTTCTAGGGAAGGCTCTATTGATAACAAACCCAAATGGCTACGTGTCTTACTGAGTAATCACACCCCCTCTTCCCCTGCCCTTAGCCATCCTCCTAACTTAAGTGGAGAGTCCCATGAAAAGCCCTTGGACCAACTTGAAAAGAAATTCGAGCATTTTCGCAGCTCAGAGCCACACAAGCACTGGAAATAACAAAACAACAGGGGTCGTAACACTGACAGATGAAGGCATCTGGACATTTGATATTTCAAAGGCTAAATTGAAACTACAGAAGTATTAGAGAGACTTTACCTGTTCCTCTGTGCAGTTGTTATGCATTGAGATACACTGGTCAGTGCACCATTGACAGTTGTTTGTATTTGCTGTACAGCTATAGCAGTCTGTAATCTGATCACATTTTTCATTGTCTACAACTATTAAAGAAAAAAACCTGCATGACCAAAAACAGGCATTTCCTGACAGAGCTCTAAGAACTTGATTATATATAGCAAAAGATATAACCAAACAGCAGTGACTGCAGATTTTCCGTTATCGACTACTTAGTAAATCAGATACTTTTACATGATTGAACTGATAGAAAATTGCATTCATTTGCAGCATCAATCATTTTTAGTGCCCAAGGATCCGTAAAACACACCACCAGAAAATGCACCAAGACATGGAAGCGCACGAACTAAGACTGGGCATGCATGTTCAGTCAATGCCCATGCAAATGACGCCAGAGGACATTTCACAAGGACGGTGAAAATCCCCCACCGCAGGCCCATTTTGCTGTAAGCCTGACCTTCAATTACGTGGAGCATTTTCATGCAAAGCTTGAACTTTCCACTTCATCTTTCCAATTGCTTATCGCCTGTGTTTTGTGAAAATTTATTGTACATTGAGAGCCCATCAAAGCAATGTCCCTTTATATCAATTTCTTTTAAATAATTAAAGGCTGCCATCTATTACAGAATCAAGGTTCATACAATTCAATTCAGAGCAACAAATGCATCAACATAGACCATTGAAAAGTTGTTTGAAAATTATCATAAGACTGAAAACAGGAATCAGACCTTAAAACGTTCTTTTTGTATGTCCCTAACCATGTAATACTGTAGCAGGAGAAATAAAGCAACTTTTCTTAAAACACTCTTCCTGCTGTCTCTCTTGAAGAGCACAGAATAACACTGCAGGACCCAGATCCCCCTTCCTGTGCCCCATGGTGCTCATCAGATAATTGCTGGCTCTCACAAGGTCAGTTCTTGGAGCAAACATCTACAGAGCAATGGTCCAGGCCTGATTCCTGACTGCTGATGTCTCTTTGGGATAGGAAAGTAAGTACAAGCAGTACGGTAGGAAGAAGAATCTAATAAGCAAGCAGCTTCAGGGGGAAGGAGAGGTGGAAACATCTCCAAGGCACCACAGCTCCTTGGTCAGAGGAACGTCTGCCAAGGCACATATGGAAGCAGAACTACAGTGTCCCCATCTTAAACTTGATCCAAGAATGGCATACAACTAACACAAGACAGAATTTGGAAAAGAAAAAGACCCTACACACCTTTCGGAAAAGGAAATTGAAAGAACGTGACACATACCTGGCTTGGGAGGACAGTCTTCAAAGACCTTTTGCTGCTGCGCTACCGTCGCCATTTCCCAGGGGACGCAGTAAGGAGGGGTGGTAGCCCACACGCATCTGATGCCAGGACCTGCTCGCAAGCAGGCCGTTTCGTTGTCAAAAGCTTCACATCTCTCGGGTGTGTACTTCAGTATGTCACTCAGGAGGAGGCTGTTGAAGCCTCCAAATACATACATGGTGCTAGACAAAATGTAAGTAAAGATATAAATATGTGTGCCTATGTTTATCGACCACGCAGTGCTGCAAGTCGATGTGATTCACGGTGTGAGGAAGGTGTTCTATTACATTCCAGCATGTATAAATCCAAACAAACAGCTCCTGGTTAAGAAAGGCACTAAAGAAAAGGGCTGTCTGTCAACTTCCACTGCTTCAGAGAAGCCACAGAATCTCAACAGATGGGTGTTGAGACCGAGTCCAACCATTCCAAGGTCATGGACCAACCTTCCCCCTCAGCCAAAACTCTGGTTGACACCTGATGAATGTGACTATACATAAAACGCTGCAGAAATTTGGGATCCTCCTGTAAAAAATAGTGGCAAGAGAGAGACGAAGGCTAAAAACCAGGGAGATGGTATCACACCATTAAACCAGCGTTCAGAAACTGTGACAAAACAATTCAGTGTTGTCACATCTTGCTACACCGCTGTGACAAAACCACAGTTATTTTCATGGCTGTTAGCAACTGAGCAAAAAGTCATTGTGTCAACTAAAAAAAAAACCACCCTAAAACAAAATAATATTTGGGGGTGGGGGCGTCTTTTCTAAACCTTCTTCTGTATCACAACTGCTTCAGGCAAAACATCACATTTCATTAGTTACACAAAAATGTCACCCAAAACCCCCTGTGCCTCCATGTTTGTAAATGTATGTTTAAAAAGAGTGAAAAAGAGTCAATGCAACTGAATAAAAATTTTGAATAATAAGTATTTTAATATGATTTTCATCCTATGTGAGGAAAGAACTAAAGCATAGGCTTAATCGCCCTGCATAGGAGCAAACACACAGCTGGTATTCAGCATACACTGAAACAAATACATAGTGAGTAAGATTTCAGAGCCAAAAAAATTATCTAGAAGCACACCTTCCTTTTCAAGGCAGTGACAGTTATCTGTCTGGCTTAAACTCAGCTTTAAATAATGGTAATGATTTACAGAAAGTATCCACAAAGGATAAAGGAACCAGAACAAAAGACTCCTAAGAAATATCGTTTCTCAAACTTGGTTCTGCAGACTCAAACACAGTAACAGATGTTCACCTGAAAACGCGGATATTATTACAGTGATGTAATGCTTAACAGCAGAAATCTCACCTGTGATTTCACCTAAATACTGTACGTCACGTGAATGTTAAATAAGGATAAGCTACACAGGATAAGCTACGTAAACTGAAACATGGGCAAATTTAGAAACCATGAGGGAAAGTACAATTTGGAGATAAAAGTTGTCAGTGCAGCTAAATAAGAACTATAAATACAAAATAAATAAAATTACAAACTTATAGAATTAATAATAAAGAGAAATATATCTACAAATAAGAAAAAGGAATAGAAATATGAAAAAATGAAATTTTTGAACGAACTAAGTGAGCTGAGATGGTTTAGTCCAGTGAAGAAGAAGGGCTGATTGGGACAGGTGGATACTGAAGACATGATAAGAGTCTGAGAACTTTGAGAGGTTTGCAACATCTCCTCAGCTCTCTGGTCTCAGCATTACTGATCTACATGTTTACACTTATTGAGGTGTGAAAAATGCCAATACCCCCCAGCTTGTTTGTAACCTTACCTGTTGTACAGCACAGCCGAATGTCCAAACCTGTTCACATCGTGATGGAGACCCGGGCGAGGAAGAACAGACCACCGATCACAAGCTAGGATTAAGGAAAGCTCATTTCAGAAAAGTTCCACAGTATAATTAGTGATTCAACTTAAGCAGCACATTTCTTCCTGAAAGATGCCAAAGTACTTTAATAACTATAGACAGACCATTCCGACCACCACCAAAATTCAAATCTTGAGTGAAACCGGACAGTTTACGAAAGCGCTGCGTTATCTTCTTTTGCAAGATTTAAGACTTTGTCTTTACACCAGTTGCGTGGTATAACAAAAAAGGAAAAAAAGGACATAATGGCTCTGCTCCATCATCTAAACAGTTCACGAAAAAGGAAAGTTGCAGGGCATTGTGTTGAAGGGGTTATTAGCTTTCTGGCAATCACATGTAATTAAACAGCAGTGGCTTGAGTTGCTTTTTCTCCTTTACTAGGGGAATTTTTCATTGCATAACAAGTTCGGTTTTCATCTGTTTATATGTGAATTATTTGCAGTTTTGCCCCAAACCAGTATCACTGAGAACAGACTTATCTTTTTTTTTTTTTTCTTCCATTGCAATTATGTTCCTAGAGGGTAGATATCCATGTTTTTAAAAATATTTTTCACTCATCATAGCTTCAGGATTTGTGGTTGTTTTTCTCTTTTAATATAATGTGAGATTATTCCATCTTTTTCTATTAGCATAACATTTATAAGTTCTGCTTCATTTTTTACTCGGTTTCTCAGGTAATTTCTTCCTTTAGGCAGCACGAAGAAAAATAACATAAGAAACATATAACCCACTGAGCAATCAAAGGAACAAAAGCAGGAAAAGTCAGTCCAATTCATATCACTTAAACTTCGCAAAGTGAATGGGATCACCTTGGGGGCTAACAACCCAAAGGCAGTTGTATGCAATTTATGCAATTAAGACAGAAAAGGTAATCTGCTGTAAAGATCTACAGAGCTCTCAAATACTCGCAGATTCTTTAATACAAGATAAAACTGCTATGCCACGGACTGAACCTCTGGAAAAAAAAAAAGAAAAAAAAAAGAAAAAAAGCCCCAACCCCCAAACTAGTGTATTGACAAACTGACAGGGCAAAGAAAACCAACCTTGTTAATTTTTTTATCAAATTTAATTGGAGAATTGTTGGGTAAAACAACTGATCCTAACCTCTGCTCCAGCAGAAACTTTTGTTCGAGTGCTGACAAATAAAAGACATAGGACCCAGTCAGTTGGATTTAATACTTTGATAAATTGTGTGATTTTGAAGTTTATTTTTAAATGTTACTTGCTCGATTTTCAAAGAATTTAACCTAACCCAGCATCAGTCCTGAGACAAGCATGTACAGTTCCAATTTTTAATAGGAGACTTCAGCAAAATTAGACAGCAATTTGCAATTTTTTATTCATCCAGTTGTGAGTTATGTGAGGCCAAGAAACATATTTTTCTAGATTAATAGAAGGCCTGGAATGTTTTGCTTTCTAAGCTTCTTTCTCATCTTTAACTGAAGATCAAGTATCGGAAAAAATGAATAATTCTGAAACTACAAAGAATCCTCTCCTTCCTGACTTAAAAGTTAAGCCAAGCCTAAAAACTTACAATGCACAGGATTTATTAAATCTACCATGCAAAAAGAACACATATATTATGAAAACATCCAGCCTTTCTCTGTGTTTGTCATCAGAACTGAAATTTTGATGGGGTAAATAGAAGAGCTTTAATTTCCCTCTGTGGGGAGAAAAGATCATTATATGATTATAACCTTTACATGAATATTTCATGCTGAGTTGAAAAAAAAAAAAGTTAAAACTTATTCAGAAGTTAAAAAGAACGGTTACTTAAACCCACAGCAACTGCATTTTGAGACAATCTGCCTGTGAAGTTTCTATTCTTGTTTTAGACAAATCCCACACATGAGGGACATGACCCTTTGGAAAGCATAACCCTCGCCTTTTCGCTCATGGAGGTGAACGTGTAGCGATGGAAGGGCTGCAACTCACCTATGGCTCCTTTGCTACTATGAATTGTTGAGAGGAGGAGGTAAAGGATTCAAGGGAGGCATTCATCCACCCAGAGACAAAACTGCTGCAGAGTGGGAAACTTCTACAGAGGCCAGAGAGACCAATTTTGGGGATAGGAAGTGCTAACTAGTCATTGCAGTGTGCAGAATATCGGAAAAATACTGTGAGACTGCTCTATCCAAGTGCTCACCCAACCTGAACGTCCACACAATCCAAAAGCTTATCCTCAGAAGCAACAAGAAATGCACGTGCACACAAACAGCTTGGCTGTTATCCTGAAACCTTCCAAAACTGGGCATTACCTGGACAGTTTGGATTGAATAAGCCCCACCTGGTCAAGTAGAGGATAAAAGGATAAGAAGCATTAATGCATTCTCAGATCTACCTAATCTGCTAAACCTCCAGAGAATCCCAGCACACTCCTCAGCGACATTTGTTTGCATCCTACACAAAAAAAACCAAAAAGAAGATATGTCCTCACAACACTCAATGTGTGTGGTCTCATTACTTTGAAATTTGAGAAGAGAAAAACAAAAAAATTGACAAGGTAAATAAAACGAGTAACTGCAGAAATAAGTTGTACTGGCAAAGGTTAAAGAGAAGGCCTGGTTTTGAAGCCTTTATTTTAGACTGCATTTTAATTGCAGTTTTCTCCAGTCTTCCAACCATCATGATCACTGAGATATCATCTTCATCAATAAGATGTTAAAAATGAGCAAACTAGCCAGATACTCCTTGACTTTTATAATACCCTAAGGTAGCCAATTACTAATCCTCTCCTCCGAAGGCACTCCGTATCAGTTGACCTTGCTGCTTGGGTTTCTCCTGGGTAGCTTGAGCCGTAGTAGTGTCAGGGGATAGATGACAAACACATAAGCGTGTTTATATTAAAGATGTGAGAGCCATATCCATCTATGGTGCCATGGCCACAACGGTCTTTGATATTTACAATGCTTCCCCACAGCGTACAGGCTCGTTCTAATGGAGACCAACATGAACATGCTCAATATAATTTCGGCAGAGATCACGCATGAAGAACCACCCAGGGGGTGTTTCTGCTGTGACACTAACGATCAGTATTCCTGACAGTGCTTCTGGTCCAATGGGATAAGGTAAATCACTAACAGAAAGATGCCCTGCCATGAAAAGAAAAGAAAAAATGGCCTTTTTCTCTTAAAAACAACCTCTTCTATCCAGCCTGAAAGTTTCTGTCCTAAGCAATGAGGGTACCAAAAAGCACCAGAACACCTCTCATCCCTGTCACGTGAAGTGCAATCAATGCAAGCTCTACTTATCAGTGTAAAACTGGTAAGGACTAGGCAAATTGACTACAGTACTTATTTCACATAACAGGAACCTGCCTGTTAACTAAACTGAATCAAAATGAACATAATTATTGGCACTTTTTCAAAGTAATGCAACTTATGTTTTACACCTAATACACAGTTCAATGGGTCAGGACAGATAGCAAAATGTAGCAAGAAATCTCAATCAATATTGCTACCGAAGTTTTAAAAATTACTCTCTCTGTGACTGTCAAAATACCTCATTTTAGTTCTTCACAGAAAAACTCAAAATAAAGCCAGCTAGGAGCACACAATAAATTCCACAGGGATGGAGCACACAATAAATTCCACAGGGATATGGTTTGAAATCACAGGAACCAGAAGAGAATGATCCCTTCCCTAACAGACAGCAAAAACAGCACAAGGATGCCAAACCCTGCTGCTGAATTTAATCCATTTGCTTGCATATTCCTTTCACAAACCAGGAGTGACATCACAGTGGACGTTCACTTCAAGAAATGAGGTTTACATGATTATTTTAGGGAATCAGTCGCAAGAGCCCACATTTAAGGAATACTTAGAGCAGAAGGCAGAATGTGATATGAGTACAGAATGGTGTTTTTCTCCAACTTGAATTATCTGGACGTGTGTGCACCGTCTTTTATATAATTTCATCTCTCTTCTCTTCTCAAATGCATCATCTCTGGACTCCAAATTCACAAATAAATGCTGCCCTCTTCTGGCTACTCGAAGTCATCAAAACCCAATCCTTCCAAATAAAATCTGATTTTCTTGTTTAATAGTGCTTATGGGGATATTTATGCTTATAAAGCGTACATATAAACAAACTGACTTTACAAACAGCACAGCCAAACAAGTCAGCCAACCTGCAGTTAAAACAAGAGCGTGCAATATATAAGTTGAGCTCCAGCAGTGTCCAGCACTTATAACTGTCCTAACAGTCTGCATTTTTGATAAATCATAGATTAATACACACTCAAATATCAGGATAGCTTTATGGCTGAGTAGGTAGAACAATATGCTTTTGTTGAAGGAATAATTTTTAATGCCCAAGGTTGTGTATAAACTGTTGACCAAATAGCTGTTGCTGTATTTGCCTAGAAATCACTGCACCAGCTCATTTGCTTGGCAAAGCGTAGCAAGCTAAACGAGCCTCTCCTGATTACGCATTCTTCTGCAGTATGCTTAGTGGCATGTGGTATAATATACCCAGCATGTAAATTAGTCTTCTTGAAGACAGCTCTTTTTGAATATCCAAGATTATTTTTTTTTTTATTATTTTTTCTGCAAGAACTTACCAATATCATACGCCATAAAATCTGAAGAAAAGCACTTCGCACCGTGGCTCATGGAGGTGTCATTGTGTGTGTTTCCTCCAAACACCAGCATGGTTCCACTCACTATCACAGCCGTGTGCAAATAGCGAAAAAATCTACTGTCTTTAAGAATAGTCCTTCAGAAATAAAGATATATGTATTAATGAAACTGATTAGTACCTGGCAAAGACAAAACAATACAGAAATCCAAGTTGAAGGAGGTTTCAGGGTGCAGGGAGGAGTGGAGGCATAGTATTTAACTACTTTTCCTTATGAGATATTTAACAACTTCCTTTCCAGACTGTTCGATTCCTCCCGTGATTTCATTTTGTCATCTTACCATCTGCTTGTCAAATTTCTCCTATAAGGAGAAATATATCTATAAAAGCCTCTTTCCAAAGCCACGGATCTTAAAATCATCAATTCCTTCCCTAGAAATTATCAAGTTTTCACACTAACCAAGCTTTTGAACGTAGTCAGCTAAACTTGCTCATATGGACACTGCCTGGAAAGACTCCAATATTTTACAGTAACTCTAATTTTATAGTAAGCTAAAGAATTCTTTCAAACTGGGATCATCTTTTGCTCAAAACTAACAAACCTATTTTGAGGAAATCTATGCAGCTGCCAACAACAGAGCCCCGTAGCTTAATACCTGCAAAGCTCAACACCTCATCTACGACTAAATCGTGGGAAGCATTAATCATACTTGCCACTGACCTCACCTTTAATCAGCATGATTAATGGCACTGCACAAAAAGGGTCACCCCTTTGTAGAATTTCCCTACTATTTTGGGAGGGTGGGATTGCAGGAAACCCCTGATGTGGTCACATCTGTCTCGTGGGCAGTGGTGTCGTTGTTTGCGGGCTGTCACAGAGGCAGTTCTGCAGCATCCCGAATGCAGCTTGCACTGAAGCCCACACTTGCACAACAAAATACTCAGCAAATGGTACAGCTGCCGGTTGAAACACCGGAGGGAACACAGGGAGAAACACACTTGCCAAAATAAAGATCAGGGGAATGCTTTTTTGCCCTTCCAAGAAATCACAAGAGGGAGAGAAGGCCTAAATTACCTAGAAATAAAAAAAAGGAGTCGGTGACTCCAAAAAAAGCACAGAGAAGGATGAGCAGACACTCCTACATGCCTCGCTGCAAGGCGACGGCTCACATGCTCTGACAGTCCTCTCGAGACTGACAAAATAAACGTGATGGAAGGAAGCTGGTGCTGCAGCGTTTTGAAGAATATTGTCACATTTGTGACATTTTCTGCTTATTCAGTCAGATTTGCCCACTCCGTGGCTGAAATGGAGGGTCAAATGAACGAAGAGAGGAAGCGTGGTTATGACTGCATGTACAACGGAGCAGGAAGGAAGGTTTTTGGAAATTAGTCACTAGTTACTTCACTCATCACTACAGACTCACAACAGTTGTCACACAAATATAAGCTATTTTAAACTCTCAAAAACAGGCGATACAGTGACTCAAATTTACATGTGTTTATTCAAAAGATAGTCTCCTTTTTGTCAGAAGCCTTTAAAAACAACTTTACGAAAAACACAAAATTGAGGAAGATTTATTTCACCTCTATAGCTCAAAGTTGCAAAGTTTTGCTGCCATTTAAATAGAACTCACCTTTGGCAGAAACAAATCACAGAAGATTTCAGCTTAAGAAATGAACGCTTCAAGCAGTTACAGAGCCAGAAGAAAATGGAGTTATAATAGAAATTCTTTTGTGGTCTTAACTGCAGAATGAATTATCGCTCACTTGACTGCAGTAACTGCACTCATATGCACAGTCTGTACTGCTGGCGAGAGAATCCCATCAAATATTTTTCTTTTCAGCTTTAATACAACAATAGATTAAAATGGATTTCTTGGCTCATTCACAGTCTTGATTATATGTGATTATATTATTCTTTACTCAAAGGGACATAAAAATAACAGATACAAGAGCACACTATCTATCCTGAATGCAGGTAACTGCGTACTAATGTACCCTTATCAAATACCCCATCCTCTTGTCCACTACAAACAAAAATGACGGGGCGGTATACAGGAAGAACAACTACTTACCACATACGGGAATCAACTTCATATTTGTACAAGTCATCTGCTAGCCTGTATTTGTTGGCACTGAATGCTTTGTAACCTCCATGGATATAAATTGATCTTGTATTTGGATCATAAACACTACTGTGACCATACCCTCCTTGAACCAAAGCTCCGCTCGTCTGTAAAATGTTCCATGTATTTGTGTCTGCGAAATGAAAAACGTGAGCGACAGAACACAGTTAATTTACCTCCATTAATAAGTTATCAACAAATCTGGTGGTGAAACAAATTGAGTTTCCCTTGACTCAGGTCTAGCCACTGTCTCTGTCACTTCATATCCAAAAATATTCTCCTTCAAGGAGTTTGTTGTCAAGAAGTATTGTCAAGTATTTTTAATTAGATCAGAAACATCTCTTCTACAGTCATTTATTACATTTTACAGACAAGCTAAGTAAATGAGAGATAAAAAGTACAGAAATAATATATTGCATTTCAATGACATGAAAATGCCAGCACCGTGGCTTGATTTGGAATGGCACCCAAGAGCACTTTTAGATATATAAGTATAAAGCCAGACAGCACTGAAGCCAAGTATGACTGTGAAGAACACTGCAGTTAAAAACTAATATGTGATTAATGATCCTATATCTCACTCACTAAAATAACATTGGTTTGAAGCACTCTAGACATAATATAATGGCAACCGAAACAAAAATGCTAAATTACACACCAAATCTCTGCAGCAAGTACAGAATGAAACCCTACACAAGCTTCCTAACTCCAGGGCAGACGAGGCACACGGAAGGCAAAGGAATTGAATAGCCTGCAAGGTCACACATGGGAGAAACAGAACAGGAGAAAAACAAATCCCTGTCCCACACAACCTGGTTTTCTCTAGCTTTCTCCTGGAGAAAGAAAGCTCACTCATGCAGATACCAGCGAGCCAGCGTAGGCTGCAGTAGAGATCCTGTGGATCAGGATGACTGAAGGACAAGGATAACAGGTGGAAATGTGCAGATAGGGCCACTATTTCTGACAATAACCAGCACATTCACATTGAGAACTTCCTGTGCTTAACTATGTTCTCTACCTCGTCAGTGGAGCAAGGGACACACCTCCAGAGAGCCATCTCAGAGCAGCTAAGTTAAGCAGAAAATCAGTTCATCTGCAGAGCTTCCTACACTTCTTCACTGATGCTACTGGAAATCTCTGGATCCTTAAGTCAGAGCTTGGACTGTTCCCAGAGATATGGGGCAAACGAAGTCCAGAAAATCATTCCCTGTTCCCCTAAGCATTCGCTAAGCACCACTACCGGAAACAGGAGTATCAGGTTATGTGGGTACTTGGTCTGAAATGTTACAAATATTCTTGTATTCACAGGATACAAAAAATAATTTAAAAAATGTTTGCTTTGTCTGAGGAAGAGAGGAAAATTAATTTCAATTGTCCAACAGTTATCCCCTGCTTTGTCCCTCAATTACAGCTTTTTTGTCCTTGGGACCTAACAAGCTGTATAAAGCTGGAGGCACATGGCTGCCTGCTCACTGTGTGTGCTACACAAACACTGGAAGTTAGATTGAACTTCACGTAAACACAAATAGGCGGAGAAGAACATCTCTGTCATTGTTTTCCTAGGTGAATGTGGATCATTTACATCAATTTTCAAAACAACAGTTAAAATTGAAACGAATGGTAGGTAGGGTGCCACTCACCCAGGTTGTATTCCTGCACATTGCTGATGTACCCATAAAGAGGGCAGTGCCCAAAGATGACCAGCATGACCGTGCTGTCTTTCAGGGTGACGATGTGTGCCGAGTGGCCAACAACAGCATACTGCTCCTTGGCTTTCGGCGTCGCTTGAGTCCAGGTCTGGGTGGGAATGTGGAACACCCACAGCTGGCTGGTCACGTTCCCCGTCGCATCTATCTTTCCACCATACATGTATATATTATCCTGAAAGAAGTCAGATTTAAAATGAGTCCCAACGAGTTTGGCATTTAGGAAACCGCTAATATGTAAGTAACAAAGTTGTTATATTTTATCTTCTCTCAGCTTAAGTTTTTCTCCTCTCTCAAGGAGAAACATATCTCCTTCACCAGTCATGTTTGATGTGAAAGCAACCATGACTGTCAGAGTTTGTATCCAAGTTCGTAATGAAAGAATACCTTCAACACATACAATTCACTCTACATCAGGGTACAGAGGGGAATGGGTGCATGGGACAGGATTTACCTTCAGATGACAGACATCAAAATTTAGGTGCCTGTAGACCAGCTCGAGTGTCTAAGCATCCACTATAAAAGACTGAAGCCTGGAGAACAATTCAAGTGATCGAAAGCAGGGAAGGTTGTGCCTACTTTTGAGTGATCTGACTTGCTCTCCAGATTTCACTACCTGTACTGACCAGGTCTGTTTTCACTATAAATGGAGCTCAGGGGCTTCCAAAGGCACCCAAAGTTAGGCACCTGAAATTAGGTGATTTAATAATCACGCCGAATCACTCCCAGAGCTTGCAAATGCAAACAGCAGAAGACAGCTGGTAAGAAAGGCAGTTATGATGGAAACTCTTCTGTGTCTGTATACTAAAAGCTTTGTCTTCCAAGTTAATGCATTGACAAAAAATGAGGACCCTTTGGAAAGAAGGGAGCCGGGATCGTTAGACAGGATTTTATTAATCATCCTGTAAGAGCTAAGTTCCAAAACTCTATCCAGTTTCCTTTGTGGATATCTCCAGGAATCTGGGAATCTCTCATGAATCCAAAGCGTGTACTGGAGCCCTGTTTCCCTACTGACAAGGTGATAACCTTGGAAAGGGAAATTCTCTACTATATCTGATACTTCTTGGGAAATTCCCGAGAACCACTGCCCGTCACTGATAGTAAACCCACTTATCATACCCTACTTTTGAACAGTTACTTGCAGAATGGGCATCAAGCCCTCGCAGGTAGAAATTACCATCCTTCTCAGGTTCTTCAAGTGTTCTGTTTGTGAACACTGCTGTGTGGAGTTTTTCAAGTGTCTGTAATTATGCTTTATATAGGCTTGCACTGTGATGAGCTAATTAACTTTCCAAAACCAAAGGTCAGTAAAGGATTAGCTCATCTCCTTTTCAAAGACTTTGCCATTCTGCTCTCACAGCAAGTCGTGCAGGTGAGAAATGAGGTAAGAAGCAGTCAAATCCACTTGTTTCAGATGTTGTAAGAATAGATTCACAGACCTACTGCAGAAGCAAAGCAGGTTCCAAAAATTCTTAATTCACCAGCTCTGCTTTGGTGCCCTGGACAATGGAGGTCATGAAAATATTTATGTAGTTTACATAAAAGGCAATCGGGGAATCAGATGAAGTCCAGCAAACTAGCCATCAGGCATGTCTTGCAAGCACAGACAGTGAGAAGGAAATAATGGACTCGCTGACCTCAGTCAGCCTTAAAACCTCTGAGAAAAAGGCAAAGGAGGAACATACAAGCATAGGCACGACAGACTTCCTAGGATACCAGTCCAAGGACTCCCTGGAGTACAAGTACATAGACTGGGATATCCATGGAGAAGCCTTTGAAGGTGAAATGCTTCAAAGCAAGACTGATGTGTGGGAAGGCGTGGGCGTAGCGGGAGAAAAGGGGGAAATCGCCCAGGAGATGGATCTGCAGCACTGAACTTACTTTATGTAATGCCAGTGAATGACCATATCTCATCTCTACGGAGTTCACAGTGTCGTCTAGTGGAAGCCACTCTTCAGAAATAAGATCATACCTGTATAATAGATTGAATTAGTTATCTGAGAAGTAGATAATGAAGTTGAGAAAATTATTGCTTGTCCTTTCCAGGATTTGTGGGAAATTATTTTATTTAACTAAAGTCCTACCGAGATTTTAGCATGCACAAATTACTCACAGGCTACTTAAGGATTAAAAAAACAAAATCCAGTCAAACCTGTCCCGTTACTTAATGTCCACATATTGATTTCCTTTACCCTGAGGTTTTTTTTCCGCATGTAAAACCAAGAGGTAAAGCATTGTCTATTAAGCTATGACAACTTACACCACATGATCCACCCAAAAGAGCAGAAAAAGTTTACACTAAGCTCAGATAAGTTCCAACTACTTGATTAAAAAAAAAAACTGCCAGTGTTTAGAAGGCACTTTTTAATTATGTCTTTGTCTTTCAAACCTATTTTTTTCTGTGAACTTGAAGCAAGATAAACCCTCTGCCCTGAAAATGGCCCGTGGCTGTTTAGATAAAAGAATGAGCTATACTTGCCATGCTTACAGCCTTATAAGATAAAACCATCTTTGAGAAAGTGTTCAGTGAAGCCACAGGGTATCTTTTGAAAAATCAGGCATGACTTTGAAAGAGTGAATTGTGGCTGTAATCAGCAACTATCCTACAACTAAGTGTGCATTTTCAGCTCTTCTTTAACTTCCCCTACAAGAATTGTTACCTCTTGCAGAGCACACAGCTCTCGCTTATGTCCACGAAAGCAAAGTACGTAGAGGTATCCCTGGGAAAAAAAAAATCCAGCTTTTGACTAGATCTGCCCGAATACCATCAAGCTCAAAAGGAAGCCTGATATGTTTTTAGGGGGGTTTTCTACAAGGTACACAATCACTATTTGATAGTTACTGTTAAATCTCACCTAATTGTATAAATGTTATCATCCTAAATACCGTTCCCTGCTTGGTAACCCATCCACTATGCATAAACATGCACAGTGTGTGCTAATTAAGGAGCCAAACACTGTGAAGTCACGCACATATAATACAAGGGCGGGCTAATAACACTGAGGCAAAACTACCCTCTTTGAAAACAAGGCCAGATAGAATTTAGAAGCTAACCTAGAAATATACAGCAAATTGTCAAATGCTGTCAGAAGCAGATGAATCAAAAACTCACTGAACGTCAGGAACCTTACGTTTGTTCTTTTCCAAAATTAGCACCCCTTAGCAGCATTTTCCCAGATCTCAAACGTGAGTCTAAGTTTTTATTGCTGCTGCTTTCCCCTGGAGACAGTGTAGGCTAAAGCACAGCACGTCGGATGTCATTTTCTAAAAATAATTCTCAAATCCAAGTTCCTCTACTTAGACTTTATTATCTAGGTTTATACTCACGCTAAAACCTTCTGAGAGTCAGAATGATTGAAGACATAGCCTCCAACAATCCACATTTTATTGTCATGGATTACGGTTTTGTGAGATGCTCTAGGAAGTTTTGGAAGAGAGTATTCCTCCCGGGTCCAAAACGACTGGTTTGCAGGAACAGGAATTGAACAGCCAGGGCCTGGGAAAATAAGGTTTAAAAAATGAGTTATTTTTTCTGAAGTCTGTATTTCAGCTAGAGATCAATATCCTGCACCACAGGTGACAAAAATGGTGCATGGCCAGGTAACGAGTGAAAGCTGTGATCCTCATTTCTTTGCCCACACCAGCAATCTGTGATGGACTTGGTGCGTTATCTCCCATACATAACCACATACTTAAAATTTAAAATTGTTTTCAGAACAAAAATGCCGCTCTAGACTAGATGAATCAGTGATGCAGCAAAGCAGACACCTCGCTCTGTTCTCCCCTGCTGTGATTGCAGGCGGGCACGGTACATACCCGTTCCCACTCCACACTAAGAGGGTATCTTACAGCACTTAACTAGCTACCATGTGCCCACAGAAGCCCCAACACAACCTGTAAAAGCTTCACAAGACCCACTTAGCAGCATGCTATAAAAACGCAAGGGTCTACAGTTATCTTTCCCTCTTTCCATTCCTTTCCTTCTCAGCAATACATTTTTGTGAATTGTTCACTTCCCCCCCCCCATATTTCTGCTTCTCTTAAACCAACTTTTTCACTGCCAGGCTTCCTTCACAGTTTCCCATGGCGTGGCAGAAGAGGAGCAGCAAAGTATACATCTCTCCATACATCTCTCATATGGAGAAAGGTTTAGGGACTTGGGTCTCTTTAGTCTAGAGAAAAGAAGATTGAGGGGGGATCTTATTAATACATACAAATACATAAAGGGAGGATGCCAGGGGGATGGGAGCAGTCTTTTTTCAGTGGCGCCCAGTGATAGGACGAGGGGTAATGGGCATAAACTTGAACATAGGAAGTTCCATCTTAACATGAGAAGGAACTTCTTTACTTTGAGGGTAGTGGAGCACTGGAACAGGCTGCCCAGAGAGGGGGTGGAGTCTCCCACTCTGGAGACATTCAAAACCCGCCTGGACGCTGTCCTGTGCAACCTGCTGTAGGTGACCCTGCTCTGGCAGGGGGGTTGGACTAGATGATCTCCAGAGGTCCCTTCCAACCCTGACCATTCTGTAATTCTGTGAAGTCTCAGCAAAGTAAAAAGCTGCACAGACGCTGTCCTTTCTTCTCTGACACCCATCCACACGCACAGAGTTACTACAGACAACAGAGAGTTTAGAGCCTGCTGAGGCCTTGGAAAGAGAATAGATTTATCAGGACAGCCTTTAGACAGTCATAAACATGAATCACTGTGTAACAGAGTTACGGTCTTGACTGTAAGTGAGCAACTGCTTGTTGTTGCTGAGTTTCCACCAGCAGTAATCTTAGGCAAGCAGACTGGAATCTGATTTATCACCCTTGAAAAACTTCTGGTTTCTGAGGTAGAGTGACCATTTCCAGATGTAAAAAAAAAAAAGCTTCAGAATATGACAGGGGAGGGTAGCTTGCATCTCATTCTGCTACTGTTTGTTTTGGGCCTTTCTTCTTTTTTTTTTTTTTTTTTTTTTTTTTTTTTTTCCCCCCTCTCCATAGATATATAGAATCAGAGAATCCTTACACACTAACCTGCTACAGAAATGAAAGAATGAGGAAACGAGTGGCAGGCTAAAAAAAGAGCAAATGCAAGTCCACTTTTGCTGTCAGTGCACAACCAGACTCCAGAAAAGCATCAGGAGGCACTGTACTGCATAAGATGTGGTGTTCCACGTGCGTACAAGCCCTGAAGTGTATTACCTGTGGCCAGTTTTACATCTGAGAGGCAGAGGCACCCTGTACCAAGGTTAGCACATTCTCCTTCGGATGCTCATTTTGCTAACCTGGATTCTTTCCACAGTGCCTAACGCGCTGTCTGCTCCTGCAGCATAGCTGAGTGGTGGCAGCAGGTGCTGCCAAGTGCTGTGGCTGGCTGCATTTCATATGAGGCTGATACCTGGATGTCAGGGTATCTTTGCAACGGAAAAAATGTATGTTTGGTCCAAACCGCTGCTAAGGCCGACATGGCTGACCAGCACAGCTGGACGTGAGAACAAGGCATTTTGTGTGTTCAGACAAATTAACTACTGCCACTAGGCTTAACTTTGCTTTAGGTGCACATGAACGAGATTTAAAGTTTTTTATCCGATGCTTGCACACAACAGGCTGGTACTGCTTTGTATGGTAGCATAGTTGCTTTAAAACGAGTTTTTTACCAATGACATACGATCTTTTGATATGAAAACGTAGACAGAAGCTTCAGATACTTTGTTCCTAGTGGAAATGCTAATACTCGTCAAGCAGAACATTCTGAAATACTCCCAATTAAACTGCAAGAGCCATACATAGAAAAGGCAACTTCTTAAAAGAGCTTCTCCATGTTAATCAGGAGACTTACCTTGCCAGCCTGCAGAGCACAAACATGCCTTAGTATCATTAAAGTTGCAGTGCCCTCTCTCAGGTGCCCCACAATCATCTGTGCAGTAGGGAATATCACAAGCTTCTCCCTTCCAGTATTTGGCACATTCACATTCAAGAGCATTGCTGCTGTTATTGAGCTTGCACTCTCCTCGGCCGGAGCAATTATTGGGACACATATTGAAACTGCGAACATCAGGGAAAGAAGGTTTGTCAGTAATGAAACAGATTGCCAAGCTGTACCTCTTATTAACAAACGCAAGAGTGATGCTGATCAAAAGTTAATAGAGCCGTAGTTGCGCTGGTTGTTAACATGCAAACCAACAAGAGCCGCTCATCTAGAACCTGACCTGACGGACCTGTAGAGATCTGTTCTCTGTCTATCATCTACAGAGCTGCCTCACTTAACGAGTTAAACTTACAACCGCTCTGAAAAACTATCAATATGATTTTTAGCCATTTGTAATGCAAATGAATTGCCTTGAAACGCCCAACAGTAAGTGAAGAATTTAATCAGCGCTTAAGGTTTTTGTGGTGTCTGTGCAATTTATACTTAAACTACTCACAATTACCTTCTATTCTGGGATCTGCTTACCAAAGGAACACACTTGAGACAAATCCCAAGCCAAAGATGTGCCTGTTTTGAATCATTTCTGATTTCATAATATCTGCAACGTAGCTGAGGCAAAACCAGATACATCCTTATGGAAGATCCAAATTCAGAGATCCTGTTCTTTTCCAAATTCCAGTTTTTACCAGTCTATCAACCAGTATAACTCAACAGATTGGGATTACTACCCAATATTCTCACTGTCGTGCAACAGGCGGAGTCACTGACATGTATTTGTCAAATACCTATCTCCAGTAGTAACTATCAAGACTGAAAATATATACATATACGCTTCTACTTATCCTCTGAAAAATCGTTAGGAAGAAACCTAATAACCAGGGCATGTAGAAGAAACAAAACACAAAAAAATACTTGAAAATTGTGTGAAATGATCAAGAAAGTGAAGCGTTAAAGAAACATTAAAATATCTTAAAGGAACTTGAAATAAGCAGGTTATTCTTTAAGAGAATGTCTTGGCTGTACTGCAGTGGGGCAATACCGAGAGCTGGCGGTAGATGGTGGCATGGCTCACGGCATCAGCCAGACTTTCAAACGCTACTGCTTCAGCTGCTCTGTGTCAAATAACTTTGCAAAGGCTCCTTATTGTCTTCTGGAGCTTTCAAGGGGTGCTGAATGGTCTGCATTTTTTCAAAGAATCCATTGTGTATTTAAGTGCTGAGTAAGGATGAAAGCACCAAGACTAGTATTCAAAAAATAAGCATGCCATTTTAAGGAAAACTCTCAGTTTTGCAAAAAAATCAGTTATGACCAAGGGTTTTGCAGCTGGTGTTTTTTTGTTGGGTTTTTTTTTTTTTTGTGAAAGAAAGATGAGAACTTCTGCAAGTTACATGCAAATTAAAATCTCCCAAAGCAGCACAAACATAATTTGTATCTGTAGCAGCAACAAATTCAAAACCCATGATCCCCATCAGAAGCAAGAAATCCCTTCTCTGCTACTATGACAAACAAAACCTTTCTAAAAGCAGTTGATGAATTAGGGAGTACCCTAGAATTATTTTTAGAAAGTTTATCCATGACGATTAAATATACATTAGCAAACACAAAGCACCTATCTATAATATTTTAAATATGAACCAAATAACATAACAAAACCATTCCAGACTAAAATGGAGCCAGATTAAGCAATTCAATCCAAGGACGGAGTAAGAAAGAGCATCTCAAAGAAAATTGCTTGAAGATCTTCAACAGTAGGTACAGTTCAGTGTCCCAAGTGAAATGTGTGTGCTTACGCAAAAGCATGTTTGTGCAGAAGTATCTCTGCAGAATGCGTAAGAGAACACACATGCAAAAAATACATCAATTCTGGTTGACCGAATATGATCAAACAAATCTAGTAACATAAAATAAATAATATGATGTCTTTCTGAGCAAACATTTGCCCACGCTTACAAATGACAACTGAAGTTAATGCTGAGCACATTACAGTTATTAGCTGTTGCAAGGGTATAATAAAGATAAAAATCTAAATTCAAGTATCTACTCATAATTACATGCTTCAATGGCAATCGCTTATTTCAAGGCAAAACTGAGAAAAGAGGAAACCTCCTTCTGCTCAACCTGCAACATTACTCTGGAGCAGTACTACTTACTTATATGTGATGTTAAACCCTGTTAAATTATAGGCAGCATCACTGAAGAAATGCAGAAGAGCATATCCAGAAGTAGCCACAACTTCTGGTACTGTTTCATTGCTATCTTTCTCAGGAACAATAAGACCACTGGAAAAGAGGGAAAAAAACAATGTTAGAAATGAAATAAGAGGGAGCAAAGCAACAATAGTAAATGCATCAGTGTTATCGAAACAATTGAAACAACGTATTTATTTGGACCTATTGGAAGTATAATGAATTTGTGTAAAGTAATCATCGTTTTCATAGACCAGTGTTATCAAATTGTTTTTCTCCAACAGAACTCCTTAAATATTCAAAAGAAAATGTCTGGACATTGTGAGCATGCATACTCAGCCAACCCTCAAAACAACCGCATTCTCAAAGGCATAAGAATCCTCAAGACCCTCTCAAAGATAAAACCACATTCTTCAGGGACCACTTTAGTAAACCCTCTTGCTTGGCTTAGTTATCTGCAATACAGTGACCACATTACTGACCAGGGAGTGCAGACAAATTCGGATATCAAGGCTACTAAGAGCAGCATTACTGCTGCCCTCAACATGCACAACTTCGGTCTACAAGAAGGAATGGCTGCAGAAAGGTATGCAAACAGAAAACTCCAAAGTAATCAACTCGGCTTTTATGAAAGACAAACGTATACTAAAAGTGTTTAACCTGAGTAAATCTGAACCTGTCCAGAATTTTGGTTATTCTTACCAAAAATCTACTTTCTCTCCCTTATTATTCTGCCATGATTTAAACAGGTTCCATTCCTAAAACAAGGTGGCCTGTTTGAAAACAGAAATTAGTGTGTCCCAAAAGCATAAAACCTGCTGTACCAAGCCAATCTAAAGGTCTGCTGAGCCCAGTATCTCCTCCCGACTATGGACTACAGCAAATGCTTGGGAAAGACTGTGACAAACAAAGCAAGTACGGAGCGTTTTGGCGATGTGTTATCCAGCTTCCAGAAACCCACAGTTCAGGTGCTTTGACCTGGAGAATGCACCCAATTCAGCACATTTAAATAAACTATTCATCCATGTTTCTATGTAATTCTTTTCTCAACCATTTTTACCCTTTTCATGTGGAAAATCTGCAGCAGGGAGGTCGACAATTTAACTCTGCAATGGCAGAGAAAAGACTTCTTACGCTCACTTTACAACAGCTGCCTGATCATCCACCACTGCCTCTTGAGTTCCTCCTCCACAAGAAGTACAATCATCCTTACTCACCATCATCTTGCCATCCACTCCATGAAATTCATGGAGTTCCACCCGACTCATCACATCCACATTTGTTGTCTCATCCTAAAAGATTATCGCGCTCACTATTCCCACCTCATTCATTGCTTCACACTTCTGGTTGCCTCCGGCTGTTTCTCTACACCCTTCCAGCTTCTACAAGATCCAGGCTTTTAGTTTTCCAGGGGTGGTGGAGAGAAGGGAGGATGATAGGCAAGACTCTTTACAGTATTCGAGATTGGACACAGTACAGATTTATATAATGGTTTGCCAAAACACTTGGAGTAAGCTGAAAAGGAGTCTAAACGTCTCTTGAAAAGAGTAACTACCACCTCTTTACCTAATGCACAAAATAGTTTGTATCTGAAAGGAAATGTTTATTCTTCTTTTAACGGAAGACTGACAACAACAAAACAAAGAAGTCAATTCCTCCCTCATACAAAAAACATAGGAGCAAGCATAAATTTGAAGTCTATTGAATTTATTTTTATAAAAGCCTTTATCAAAGCAAAGCGCATTGTCTACCACCGCCTATTGATAGTCAGCTGTTATTTTTCTTGTAGAGAACCATCTCTCCCCCAGCCTCAGTCCTATTTTCAAAAGCTAAGTCGAAGCTTTTTGAAAAGCAGAGACTCCAAACCCCAGAGCGGAGCGTGTCAGGCCGGGAACGGAAGGCAGCTCTGGGGCTGGAGGCAACCGGCGGCGTCACAGAGCCCCACGGCTCTGCTGGGAAAGTAGCCGAGCCTCGTTTCGTGCCCTGCGACTTCTGAATATCCGAAGGCACCATCCACTAAAAAGCAACGATGAAAAGCATTTTTCCCCCTGAAAAGAATTTACTTTTCCCCTTTTGAGATCTATTCGGAACAAAAAGCAAATGCATTTGAAGACAGTTCCCTAGGACAGGGTAAATGAGTTTCTACACCCGAGGAAAACACTCACAGCTATCCACGGCAGCCTATTCACATCGCCTGTAAAGCACTTTTTTGTGACCTGAATTTTTCTGTCCCCGAATACAATACAATGGTGTGCTGAAAGAATAACACAGAGACCCAGCGATCCTTCCCAAAAGCTTTTGCTATAGATGTCGGGGGTGTTTGCACCAAGAGTAACAGATGAACGTGTTACCTACGGCGGGGTAAATCTGCAAACTACAACAGCCCTTCCTGCACAACAAGTCTTATTGTGGACAAAAAGATATCTTTCATTTTACCAACATGTCATAAAAATGCAGTAACCCGATCCCATGGTTTGGCTAAACAATTCCAGCACATTTGCTGATATGTAGCTCAATAAATACTTCCTCATGAAAAGCCAATTATTTTTCCCTCTTTCAGATCTCAAGGATATGGGATTAAAAGGTAAATTTCACTGCCTTTTTCATCCATGTGTAAGAGGTGCCCGTTTCATTCTAAAATTTGAGGCTTCTGATCTGAAGATGATCTCTCCCAAAAGACTGTCTCCCAAAACATCAAAGAACAAGAAGTCTAATGAACTTCTCCTTGCTATTTGGTTCATAGTTTCCCTTTGTAATGCAAACTGTAGGACGGTACATCTCCACCACAGGAAAACAGACATCTGAATATAATTCAGGCTAAGGCAAACTATAGCTCAGGGACAAGAAAAAATTCCTTTGTTCTGGTTTATTCTTCTTTGGTCTTATTTTTGCAGCACTTATCACTGATATTACAGGGCAATGTAACTGGAAGGCCCTGGAGAGGGAAGAATAACAGTAGCAAAGCATAAAACTAACGAGTGAATAGCGGTAGTGAGAGAAGACAAAAATCTCCCCCAATAACCTCTCCTAATAAAAGGACTAGCACAGAGCGATTATTTGTTTTCTCTTCACAGAATCACGGAATGGTAGGGGTTGGAAGGAACCTCTGGACGTCATCTAGTCCAACCCCTCCTTTGCCAGAGCCAGTTCACCTACAGCAGGTTGCACAGGAATGCATCCAGGCAGGTTTTAAGTATCTCCAGAGAAGGAGACTCCACAACCTCTCTGGGCAGCCTGTTCCAGTGCTTTGCCACCCCCAAGTAAAGAGGTTCCTCCCCATGTTCAGCTGGAACTTCCTGTATTCCAGTTTGTGCCCATTGTCACTCGTCCTGTCGCTGAAAAGAGTCTGGCCCCCTCCTCTTGACACTGCCCTTTAGATATTTATAAGCACTGATGAGATCCCCTCTCAGTCTTCTCCAGGCTAAGCAGACCAGGTCTCTCAGCCTTTGCTCACAACAGAGGTGCTCCTTCCCTTCATCATTTTTGCAGACCTCCGATTAACTCTCTCCAGTAGTTCCCTGTCTTTTCTGAACTGGGGAGCCCAGAACTGGACACAGTACTCCAGATGTGGCCTCACCAGGGCACAGTGCTGGCTTATGATCAACTTGTTTTCCACCGGGACTCCCAGGTCTCTCTCCGCAGAGTGGCTTCCCAGGTCAACCCCTAACCTGTACCAGTGCATGGGGTTATCCCTCCCTAGGTACAGTACCCTACACTTGCCTTTGTTGAACAGCCTGATGAAACTTCATAGACAGACTGTAATTTCATCCAGAAAAAGCCATGAGAAGAACACAATACAATGATAACGATCATGCCTGTGAAAGGTCAAACCTTGAAAATCGTGAATAAATTAGTGTGTGCACAGCATCATTTTGAATAAACCAGCACAAACAGAATTTAAATGATCTGCCATGCAAAAAAAAACCGATAGGCAGAATCAAAATGATAAAGGATTATGCAAAGCTTCCTTTAAACTACAATCCAGAATCTCTCAGAGACTCAACTCTGGCCAAGATTAGTCTATTTCACAATGTACCGCTTCTATTTCTTTTTATAAGGTTTCAAAACATTTCGCAATCATCACTACTCCAAAGCAAATAAATACTCCTACTCATCAGCTAAGCTGTCCAATGACATTATTTCTTAGGCATGGAAAGGCAAACCTCTGTTTTGCCCTGAAACAACTTCTATTTTCTGTGTGCTGGATTTGTAGAGCCAGTGGCAGAGTGAAAAACCATATCGAGGAAAACGTGACTTCTCTATCGCCCCGCACACATTGCCCGCCACGCTCTCTCCCCTACACCGTAAAAAAATAGGAATTATTTAAAACAAAGGGCCTCTCCTCTATTACTTTTCCTTGATTTGCTATGCAAGCGTCTCATCATTTTCTCCTGCGACACAACCTGCCAGCGTGGAAGGGATCAAAAAAATGTAAGAAGCCCTACTGAGCAGAAAACAGTGAAAAAGGAAGAAGATGGGAGCCACGCAAAGAGCGGGGGGCAATACACAGTACAGCTCACAGAAAGAATAAAGGTACTGTCAATGTTTTGGTATCACACTAGCTTCTCAATCTATTGAAATGCAACGAGAAACTATTCTCTTAATTTTTAAATTTGACCCATCTGGACACGCACGTATGCAAAACACCACTGTTTCTTTCTTATTAAACTACAGTCCGTGCGCATCACCATACTCACAACTACAAGAGTGGAAGTAAACAAAAAAAAATAAACAAACCAAAAATAGAAATTACGAGAGACTAAAAATAAATCAATGCCAAAAAGGGGTGGCGGGGGGTGAAAATAAGGAGACATCTCAAATTGATTTTCTTAAAGGAAAATTTAAGATTCTTGTGCAGCAAGATGGACTCCCAAACACAGACTTTTTAGGAAGCAACGCAACTACAATGACACTTATGAAAAAAAAAAAAAAAACAACCAAACAAAAAAAGACAACCCAAAACTCGTTATTGAGAGCTGGCAACATCCCAAAGTACAACTTCTCTTGAAACGGTCCTCCCTTGTTGCAGTTCAGACAGAGCCCGCTGCTGCAGCACCAGCACAGGGCGAGCCTGCCTGCCCGCACAGCCCTCCGCACCGCGGGGGCTTCCCCCAAAAACCTCCTCAAGCTGTTACATGACCCTCTTCCTCCCAGAGACAAGGACAAACCATGAACATACCAAGATGTGTCTCATGAGCCATTTAGTAATTTTTAATGATACTGTCACATGGTGAGCGTGACTGTAAAAGCTGTAGTTCAAGAGAACGTGGGCTGAAAGGCATCAAAAGAAACAACACCTTTTTTTGCCCTTACAGTGAAGAAGTACTTTAAAAGTTAAAAAAATATCTTACTACCTCGTCTTCGAGAGACAGATTGTGCTACTGGCCATGGTGCAAATGCCTTGTCATTTTTTAAAACCTAAAGTCTGTTACCTGTGAAGCTCAGTACAGGATATTTGACTTAATGGTAAAAAAAATAAAATAATCTTACTCTTCAATGCATCAGAAACAGTTTAAGAGAAAAGAACCAAAAAAGTGAAGAACGGAAGAAAGTTTCTGCTCCAAACTTCCTTTATAGGCCTCAATTTAACACAGAGGATTTATCCTTTCAAAACTCTAAAATAGAAACTCTCTTTGTCCATCTTGTCAAACTGATTTGATGTTTTCAGAGGGGATTACAGGTTTAGTGCACAAAAGCTATTTTGATACAATGCATTTACATTTCTCTAAGAAATCTGACTTTCTACCACAAAGACATTTTGATTTATCAGTTCTCACACATTCCAAGGATCAGCTGGCTCACTGACAGGCTCACGAGTAAGCGTAAACATGGGAACATAATTCAGCAGGTAGATTTCTAGCAAAATCCCAAATACATTTGCTCCTCACCTTACACTGATTTATTTTTGTTTTAGATCAATACTCTAAAAGTTATCGTGGATCCAGAGAAAACAAATAGAGCAAAATAATAAATACTTTGACAACAGACTGCTAGAATAAAAAGTCAACTGGACTGTTCCATGAACTGAGTGTGTGTGTGATGGACGTCTTGCACCACAGTCCAGCACAGGGTCATAACATAATATACCCCCTATCTCAGGATGCAGAATGAAAACTGATTTGGGAAGTGATGGTTGATGGTATGCAGAGTGTCAGCTCCATCAGACGAGGGCAGGAACACTGATAGGCTGAAACTTGGTTACGCACATGAGCAAAGGTCATCCAGCGCATGCCTTGAAGCAAACAGAGCAATAAAATTTAAGTATTAAACAGTCCCTTCATCTTCTTTCACAGAATCATAGCACGGTTTGGGAGGGTTGGAGGGGACCTCTAAAGGTCATCTAGCCCAACGCCCCCTGCAATGAGCAGGGACATCTTCAACTAGGTCAGGTTGCTCAGAGCCCTGTTCCAACCTGACCTTGAATGCTTCCAGGGATGGGGCATCTACCACCTCTCCGGGCAATCTTTACACAGAGCACGTACACCCACAGTTTGTTCTCTACTATATGTGCCAGAAGTAAGGACTGCTTCTCCCTATAAGTCTATATAAGATCAGCTTTAAGTTGATTAGCTCCTCTGGATACGCTCAGTAACACAAATAGTACCAACTCAACATGTTTTGTGCCTTCCCCAGTGTAATTAATCCTCGTTAGCAACCCCCCCCGCTGTTATCAGCTGATCATTTGCTCTAGCAATATAAGGCAAGTTGATGCTGAGGGGTAAGCAGGGTTTGCAGGTTAGTTCAGGAAGGGCACGGAGGACAAAGCAGAAGAAAGAGAAAGCCTTTGCATGCACCCATGGCAGCAACGTGGGGTTACGATTTCTAGTAAAGAATTCAGGGAATAGAAGGGGACAACCATATAACACCCGAGGAGAAGCAGAAGGAGCAAGGTTTGTTCAGCTTGGAAGAGATGGCTGAAGATGGGGTGAAATCCAATTGCTGCCTTTGACTACCTAAGGAGAGATTACAGAGGAAATAGCACCAGAGGTTCACAGAAAAAGGACATGAGACAACAGACGCAGGTTGCAGCAATGGAAATTCTGATTGGATATTAGCATAAGATTCATTATTTATTAGTAGTGTTATTTTTTAACATGAGGGTGGCCAAGCATTGGACCACTGGCCCAGAGGATCAACAAGATCTCCATCCTTAAGGGAAATTCACAGCTTCACTGGGCAAGGTCTTGAGCAAGGGCCTGAGCCCACTCTAAAGCTGGCCTTGCTCTGAGTGAGGGATCAGACCAGGGTCTCTTCCAACCCAACTCACCCCACGTTCTGCGCCTAGACTCGAATTTGGGTGCATATTCACCCACAAGTAATGCAAGGAAGGTGAGCTGCTCCTGTTCTCTGAGGGTACGAGAGCTCCCATGGAGGCACAGTGGAGCAGCCAGCTCAGCAAGTGCCATGGGGCAACCACGGCCATCTGTCAGCGCAGCCACCACAACCATTCATCTGGCACCTGACAGCAACCGTGAGGAGCTTCCGAGTGGTCTCATCCCCCAGCGCCAAGCACAGAGCCACGGCCAAAGGTCTCGCAAAAGAACAACTGGTTTTGAAGAGAACGCCCCCCGCTGACGAGCGCAAAATGAAAATAAAGGTGCAGAAACAGCTCCAGTAAATGTTTAACATGGAGTAAAGGTAAAAACACAAACAACAAAGTTCACAGATGATGAGTGTAGTTTATCTGCTCCAGACTTCTGCATTCTGTGCAGACAAACACTGGATTTCTGTTTCCTCCATGTTTTTATTGCATTTTTTGAAGAGGCAGATTTACACAATCCCATGTTGCCTATGACCACAAACATAAACCAGCAAAGATATTTTTATCTCTGCTTAATAAAAAAAAAAAAAAAAAGCTTAATGTACAGGACAGGGCTGCCCTGGGGGCATTCAGACTACAAGGAGTTTAGTAAACAGTTTATGCAGACACTTGCACTGTGTAAATGTTTGCATTATGCAAATATTTATCGCAGTTAAAAATTGATAAAACCAATTTAAAGTTTCTCCATAGTCCAGTACTGAGGATTTCCAAGATCATTTTATATTCAGGGTAAATACCATATTGTGAATAAACTTAAGCAAGCATAAGAAGGTCAAGGAAAAAAAAAAAAAAAAGATGAAAACCGTGAAGGAAGTGAGGGCTCGGGCAACTGCTGTAAAAAGCCAGGGAGGTGACAAAACCTGAGCTTTAGAGAGGGAGGAATTTACAGTGTTCATCAACAAACTCCAAAAGTTTACAGTGTCCAGCTGTACAAAGCCCAATCTTGCAAATCCCGTGGCACAGTGTTAAAATAGTGAAGAGTGAAATATGGTTAATATTAAAACGTAACATAAGCTAGGAAGAGAGATAAAATACGAACATCGCTCTTGAAAAATTATAGTGCGTTTATTTTTGTATCAGAAAGAGATATTTTTCAACAGATGCTTTTTTGCACTTCAGCAAAATTAGAAGCGTCTGCTATTTTCCAAACTTGGTTTACTGAACAACACAGCTCACTACTAATGAAGATGAAATTCAAACGTCATCTAAAGAAGCAATTTAAAAAATAATTGAAATTTTTTCCTACCTCAAAAATGTTATTGTATTAAGCTCACGCCTGCTTGTCCTCAGGCACAGACTTCCTAGTGATTTACAGATGATTTTAAAGTCTGAAGTATAATTGTTAATACTGTGAACTACTTATAACCTCAATTTTAAAAGCCTATTAATTTTTGGGAAACACACAAGAAACTGCAGGCACAAATCATGATGATTTCACCTTTTCAACAGCGTATTAAAAATTAGCTCGATTAGAGCAAAATGAGTCAAGATGACATCTCTTCCTTTTCCTGCATATCAATTCAGTTCAAGACACCAGGAGAGTGCTTACAGGTTTTTGGGGGGAGCTGTTTTAGAAAAGAGAAAGTTTCTTCTTCTTCAGATGGGGTAAGAGTAAGATAACAGTTCATTTGTGTGTCCTGTTTTGACCTTAGGTTAGTCTGAAGGTTTACATGAAGCATTCTTTCACTACAAAACAACTCCGCATTTTCAGTCAAAGAGCCAAAAAAACATGTGCTGTTTTTAATTTTTTTTATCAACTTTTTGTTCCTATGCTGATCTTCTCTCATAGATATTACAAGGATTTTTTAGAATAAACATGAAGTATTTTTAGAACTTCATTTCACAAATGAAAGGAAGCACAGCAGAAGGTTAATTCTGGAAATAGTTGATCGTCCGCTTGGAACAAGCAGAGTCCAAAGGGAACCATTAGTTTTTCCATACACAACTTGGGATTGTTTTTCTAATTTCAGCTAAAAGAATAGAAAACATAAGGTGGTGCTTGTCACTGCAAGATGAAAGTACATAAATGCACAAGTTATATTTAGGTCTCTTCGTGAAATGTCGACTGGTAACCAGCATCCACAAATTGGTCTCTCACCACAGACAGATGAGCCAAATACCAGTCGTTCATCAGAACAGATATTTTTTTACACGTTTTTACAAGGCTGGCTGACCCATCACTGTTGTTTCTGAACACATTCTAAAGAGTTTAAAAATTTAAACATTAAAGGTACATAAGGATACACATAGTTCTACGAGACCTATGTGTCTGCAATGTTGATTAATTGGCTTTTGCCTTCTGTCAGCATTGACATACTATGAGTCAAACTTAAGTCATGTTCAAACTTGATAAATGGGGCAGTTTTCTACTTTAGAAGGAGCTTGCATACTGAATCATCTCAAGCTCAACCAGATGACAATAAATTTTTGTCCCTCAAATAATCAGGATTTGGAAATGAAAACATAATACTTACATGCTACAGTGTAGTAACATGATTTGTTCATTGTAAAAGCAAAAACAACTCCTTAATTGTTTATGCTGACGATGACTGCACAAAAGGGCACTTGCTGCATGTGCTGTATTTGCAGTATCATATATTTAGATTATCGGAACATATTTATACTGCTAGAAGTCACATTTGATTTGGGCTCCACGTTAAAGAAGTATCGTTGCGTAGAGGTAGATTCTTACCAAGGGGAACTTACCTAAATGCTGCCAGTAAGGGAGCGTAAATTGAATCTCCGTCATACACGTACAAGTGGTCCCAACTGCACTCTGTGGCAAAGTGATTGAATCGAAGCCTGAGGATTGTGTTTGGCCTGTAAAAAAAAAAAAAAAAAGATTTATAATTAGCCACTCGACACATATGGCAAAGTCCCTCCAACAAACTCCTCCGGTGTGAAACTCTCCTCTAAAAGACTAAAATTGAGTGACTCAGTGTAACTGCAGATACATCAAACACACTGTGGCTTTCTTTTTTGGTGTGCATGCTCCCCTGGTATTAAGCAACAGATTCTTTATGGTCAGAAAATCTGTGTCCTTAAATCTTTCCCCACCACCAACAGCAGAAACGGAGGAGCAGGCACTGCCAGCCCGCTCCTCTTTACCACTACTGACTCCCCTAATGACAGGGCTCTGCAGGGGTAAGCATGGAAAATCTACACACGCAATACATTCACGTGTAGATGTGGCACTTAAGGACATGGTTTAGTGGTGCATTTGGCAGCGGTAGGTTTACAGTTGGAGCCTATAATCTTAAAGGTCTTCTCCAACGTAAATGGTTCTATGAAGAATCATAGCCACCATCAGGGAACTAACCAGAGCTCTTTTTCTTGTTCAAGGGATTTTCTGCAGATTGATATGATTACAATGGTCTGAGATCATTTATTTGCCCAGAAGCTGACAGAAATCCTTCTTCTATTAGTTTATTACTTCTGCAGTACTGCAGGATGGCCCTCCTGAGGGAAGTCCCTCCAAAGCAGAAATTGGAAATATGCCTCAGTGGATGCTAATTAAAGAAACTTTCAGTCTTGCTCATCACCTTCTGGGAGCTGGAGAAAACAGGTCAAGAGAATGCAGAGGAGATCAGTCTTCTACAGGATGGGAGGCCCTGGGGCTTTACCTTTTTCCAAAAGGAAGGTCTTTGTTTATCACTTGGACTGTCAAGATGCAGTAACCACTCACTGCCCTTCAATTCCTTACAAGCACTAACCAGGTCGCTTGACTTTTTTCTGGAAATGCATTACAAAAGATACTGGGACTAAGTGAGAATGAATGAGGTGGACAGGCTGGAGAGCTGGGCAGAGAAGAACCTAATGAGGTTCCACATCAGCAAGTGCGGGGTCCTGCCCCTGGGGAGGAAGAATGCTAAGACCCAGTATAGGTTAGGGGTGGGCCTGCTGGGAAGTAGTTATGAGGAGAAGGATTTGGGGGTCCTGGTAGGCAGTAAATTGTCAATGAGCCAGCAGTGGTCCCGTGTTGCCAAAAAGGCCAATGGAATCCTGGGCTGCATAGGGACACGTGTGGCCAGTAGGTCGAGGGAGGTCATTCTCCCCCTCTATTCGGCACTGGTGAGGCCACAACTGGAATACTGTGTCCAGTTTTGGGCTCCCCAGTTCAAGAGGGACAGGGAACTGCTGGAGAGAGTCCAGCGAAGGGCAACCAAGACGGCTGAGGGATTGGAGCATCTCCCTTATGAGGAAAGGCTGAGAGAGCTGGGACTCTTTAGCCTGGAGAAGAGAAAGCTGAGGGGAGACCTTATTATTGCTTATAAATATCTAAAGGGTGGGTTGAAGGAGGATGGAGCCAGACTCTTCTCGGTGGTTCCTAGTGACAGGACGAGGGGCAATGGGTGCAAGTTGGAACATAGGAAGTTCCATTCAAATACACAACAGTAGTTCAGAAGACACCAAAACACATCAGAAATTCTTTCACTCCATACACCAAAGATGCCCACTAAGCCACAACCAAGTAACATACATTTAGATACCATTACATTTCATGGCTAATATGCAAAGATACATCTAAAGAGAATCCCACAGAAGCCACAGCAGATATCTAATTTAGGGCTCAGCTCAAGGAGGGTGAAAACACCACTAACATTGTGCTTGGAGCCTGAGATAAAAAGCAGCATTGCTTTTTCCTACCCACAGCTGTAGCTGTTCAAAGGATAGGAGCAAGCGATTAGGATCTCTTCAACAGCATTGCCCTTGGGTTCAGATGAAATCCTTGTTCATCCTAATCAAATAAAGTAATAAAATGTCAACTTGCCATAGAGTCCTTACTTCCTACAGAAGGGGAATTCTTTAGGGCGTTATTCTGCAAGAGAATATTTTTTGATAGGCACAATGATCTACTCCAGGCCTTTGGAAAAAAAAAAGAGCAGCAGGTGTAACTCAAGGATAATGTCTTGCCTAAAGAAAAGGTACAAATAGTACTCAGCATTTCAAAACTGAGCAGCCTATGACATCGTAGGGGGTTGTCTTCTATTTTAACCATCTGACAGCTGTAGAGCAGAAAGAAATACTTAATCAATAAAAGCTTTAGACCAAGAACAAAAAGAAAGATATTATCTTTGCTACAGCTAACAACTCATTAAGAGACAGCATTCATTTGCAGACTCACAAGGCACACCGCTACAGATTCTGCCTCACACAGGCAGGCTTTATCTCATCTGCCTTGCCTCCTGCTCCTGGGGAAAAATGAAAAGGACGCCCCTGGGACGAGGACGCAGCACAGACACCAGCCAGGAAGAGCCAGAAATGATGCAAAAAGGAAACGAGTACAGTAAGGAACACATGGCTTATTTTACATCTGAATTTATCTCGTGTCTTCAATAGCACATTTGGATTGTACCTTTACCTGCTTGCCTCAAAAGCCCTCCAAACACCAGCACGCTAGCACGGAGGTGAGGGCACTCAGCAAAATTCAACAGCTTTGCAGAAGCTGTTTTCCAAGTCCAGATCTCTCTGGGAATTTCACATTTGGTAGAGAGCTTGGGCTATTTTCACAAGGGTGCATATTTCAGCTGTTTTAATCAGCCTGATTATCTCCTTTCTGTTTACCACCATCCTCTGACAGCAGGGTAGAAACAATTAGAAGTAGGAAAAGGACACCGACTTACATGCCTGGCTAGGGAAGAAGGAGGAACATTTTTGTACACCTCCTTACAACAAGTATGATCTCACTTCAGACCCCACGAAGTGATAGTTCTCTAGGAAGCCTCTCAGTACTAGCAAACAAAGGCTGAAGGAGCCCTTATGGTGACATTATCAGGGACACATGAGCAGCACTTCACTTCTAATAAAAACATGAGTCACATTCTCCTTTAAAAAAAGAAGTTAAAAGAGAGTTAAGCTGGCTGTACTGGAATTGCTGAGGCTGGTTTGTCTGTAATAACATTCTTGCAAAACATTTTTTAATTATTTGTAATTCCAAACTGGCCACAGTTGTATTTTTACTACCTGCAAAAATTAAGAGGTGTTGCCACTTACAGCATCTAACTTTTGATCTTAACCACATTAAAGAACTGGGCTCCTTAAATAGTTAATGGTGAGTGGTAGGCTCCCATTTTCAGTGTTCTAGATGGCTCTCTGGAACAGCTTAGCCCTTACCTTTGAATATTCTGGGAGCTTAGGTATTTAAGTTACTCATCCAAAATAAATGTCCAAAGTAGATGGAGTGAATACCAATTCCCCTCCACCCATCAGACCTCCCAAACACAGAGAGAAGACTAAAGAAAAAAGCGTATCCTGGGCTTTTAGTAATTTCTGATCCTCCAAAATGCCAAGAGACCTCAGCTTACAGGCATTCAACCCAAGTGAAATCATTCATGCTCTCACATGACTTGTTCCTATTCACAAACCTCTCTACTCACAGAATCAGGGAACAGCATGGAATGCGACTTAACACATAGCTGTTAACACACAGCATCATAACTGACCATGCAAAGTTTTAGAGACTATACGAATTGATTTTACAGTCCTGGCGTCAGCCTGGTGCTACAAAAAACATATTTCAACAAGGCAGAGGCTCTGAACTGCTGCACCATTAATCAGATGACAGTCAGAGGATATGCACTAAATAGGCTGCTCCTAAAATCTCTGCAAGAAGTCACTGTAAACAATATAAAGACCAAATACAGGACGGGAAGAGGTCTAAGAGACTTCTTGAAGTTAGATGATCTTTGCAAAGAGGGCCAATGGTCCCTCTGAAGTCCTCATGGCCTAGTGAGTATAGAAGCATCTGAAGTGCGTGATTACAGAAACCGATTCTTCATGAATAAGGGCTTTAATAGAGTTTTATCTATTTTTTTCATACTGCCGAAAAGTCCCATACACAGCAGATCCCAAACATCTGAATGGCCCACTACAATAAGTTAAATAATTTTTAGTTCTTAATTTATTTACACAGACGCATTTATTCTCATTTTCAGTGCACAGTTTCAACGTGAATGGTATTTTACACAGCAAACCTCTAATTCAGAACTCACTTTGGAGGGCCCAGTTGCACAAAACCCCCAAAACTTATTTACCAAGAATAACTATGTGCTGCCCTACCTAGTTTTAAGAATATCAAAAAAGAGTCACGAGATCTAAAAAAATACTCAGTGAAGATAAACCTCACCTGAAGTCACAATAAGCAACACTAAAACCCAAGATGCTTCCTGCACTCACCTTCCTTCAATGAGCCAGGTGCATTTTGTTTTGTATTTGTAATTTCCAGGCCCATCCGTTACATACCCTGAAGGTCCAGTGAGTCTGTAAACAAAAAATAAAGATAAGCATTACTCTCTGATGGTATTAAACATTCATAAAGGATTTCCTAAATTTAGAAGATTTCATCAGAAATTTGAAATCCATCATTAGATTTTCATTTACTTAAAAGCCACTACAAACAAACCAACAACGATGCAACAAAAAACAATTGGGTAATTGGCATTCTCCTGGTAAACTCTCTGTACATGTTTTCTGAATATTATGCTTAAAGAACAGCAGTTGAGAGCGATGGTTTCTCTACCAGATTGATGGTATTGTTTCAAATCAGCACCCTAGGAGGGAAAAAAAAAAAAAAAAAAAAAAAAAAAAAAAACACCTTTCTCCACAAACAAAGACTAATGCACAGACTAATACCACACAGCCAGCAAAAGGCATTCCCTAACAGAAAAGCTGAAGTTATTCTGAAATTATTTATTTACACAAACCACACAATTCTTGCAAGAAGTTCAGATACAGTCTATGGCCCATTCTGTATCTGACTCTTCACAAAGTCCTTTACGGCCTCCTGAATGGAGGGACTGATCCCCATAACCCTCTAGTGCAAACTAAGACCTTAATTCCTCATGCATGAATGGCAGCATAACTCAGGATAACAGCAGACAATGGCTGTTCCAGGCATCCCCCACCTTCGGTAGCATGTTCCCACCCCCATGTCACAGAATCATAGAATCATTTTGGTTGGAAGACACCTTGAAGATCATCAAGTCCAATCGTTAACCTAGCACTGCCAAGTCCATGACTAAACCATGTCCCTCAGCACCTCTTCTACACGTCTTTTAAATACCTCCAGGGATGGTGATTCAGCCACTTCCCTGGGCACCCTGTTCCAATGCTTGATAACCCTTTTCAGTGAAGAAATTTTTCCCAATATTGAATCCGAACATCCCACATGAAATGACTGAAAGGAGCTGAGTGGTCCCCACTGCTGGGATGGTGCTAGGACTACCCTATGAACATCCCTTCCCTTCTGCACCTATAAACAGGAGGTGACAACTTGACAGTATCAAAAGACTCTGGAAAAGGATATAAAAGCAGAAAGTACAGTTGGAGTCATTCATCCCAGGATACTCAATGAATGCCAGCAATTAACACCATTAAAAATTCAAGATGCCACTGAAAGAGAGAAAGGAATAAAGCCAACAGAGGACTCATTTTTGTCAACATCTGCAAAACATTGTACAGTACAAATTGTAGACAACTGCATTTATCTAGACAGTGCTTGCAGGGGTGTCCAAACAAGCAGCAAACCCAGTCTGGAGCTCAGAAGGGTGTTTGATGAAAAGTTCACAACAGATTTCAGAACTATGTTTAACCCTTTGTTGTTGTATGAAGAAAATTTATATTCATGCTCATTACTTGTAAACTTGTAATAAGCATGAATACAGGTACTGAGCAAAGCCATGCAAAACCTGCTTTCACGTTTCCATTACTCCTACTTGAAATGCAACAATCAAACACATCCACACTGTAAGATAAAATGAAGGTAGCAATCTACTGGCCACAACTATAACTTCTCCTTTCCACAGATTTTAACAGGGTATGCTTTCTTCAAAGACCATGGACAACAGAGAAGACAATCTCACTTCATCAAGGCTGAAAGAGACGTATCTAGCATGAGTTTGGGGCAGGGGATCCAATGCATCGCTTGGGCTCCCAAAAACAGGTACTGAGATTGTGCATCTTCTGCTTTAGCATAGAGACTGGTAGGGGCATGTATGGGCTGAAAACAAAACCGAGAGCCGGACCGTTGGAATGCACACTGCCATCTCACATGCATTAGTCCAAATATTCCAGATTGGTTTTAACAAACAGCTGAAGTATAGCAGAAACAGCTGAAAATAAATTACCAGGGAAGGCTGGCGTCAAATGGAAGCGGTATCTGAAGACGCGCAAACACCACATCCTGGCAGAGCATACAGTGGCACATGAAACAGGATCCCTACCTAGGGAGGTTATGAACTCGGTCGTCGACACACTGCTGGAGCAAATCACAGCCTTCTGGCAAAATTAAAATGTCCTACTTAAAACACAGTTTCAGCAAAACAAAAACACTCTGCAAAATCACATTTGGCAGAAAAGAGAGGGAAGCAAGATCATAAGTTCCCAAAACCGGTATCTTGGAACCTTTTGCTGTGCCTTTTCCTAGTGAACTGTTAATGTTATCATCTAATCTCTTTAAAATATTTTGACTGAGTCAAAATGGGTTTTCAGAATCTTCTCCATAGAGCACTTTCAAAGTTTGTCTCTGATCCAAATTAAAAAGGCAAAAAACACAGATTTTGAAAACCACCTTCCTCTTCCTCCATATCAATTTATTATAATACTTTTCAACCTCAGAAATTTAGCTTAAGATTATTAAAAGCCAGTTACTGAAGTTCTGCAGGAGATCTACATTTAAGCAAGTGAAGAAACAACTCCAATTTTCAGGAGCACCGGAACCATCTGTACCTTCTACGGATATACAGATAAATGTAGACACAGATATAGATAAATAAACATACACATATATATTTTAAGGCTTTAACATCTTTGAAAATTCAAATTACTTATCTACTGACCAGGAATTTGCAAAAACAGATGCAAATTCCAAGTTGTAGGCAATAACATCTAGACTTTTCGTCTAAAAATTAATCCTTCTGAAAATAGTATCTGTGGAAAAGCTGGGAATCAAACTGTATCAACGCTTCAGCACTGACAGCACTTTGCATGCAACCAAGAGTAAACAGACTCTGGAAACCTGAGCAAGTCTCACAAGCTAAAAAACAACCATATGCAATCTGCCAAGCTCTCAAAAGAGACTCTGCTCAGAAAAGTCTTTGAACAATTTTCTCTGGAAACAATTACTAAATCATTCACCACAGAAATGCTATCAAGAGTGATGGGAGAAAAAAAAAAAAACAACCCAAAACAATTCTGTTAGTACTGTAGCCCCAGCCATGTCACATCTCGGGGCTGGGGGGGGGAAGAACATTTCAATATCACCATAATTTAATCACATTTCAGCAATGCAAATCAAAACACAGGATTTAGTTTAAAAAAAAAAGCAAAGAAAAATTTCTTTGGTATACTATAAATAGATAATACTTATCTATCTTACAGATCTGTAAGTTACTCGGATTCCTTAATAAGCTTTATAAGCTGATGCCATTAATGAACAAATACAGGATATTTAAAAAAAAAAAAAGAAAAAAAAAAATCAGACTTTACGTCTCCGAAACCAAAAGAAATAGGAACTAAGTTTGTACCCCGCATACTGCCTGGCACGGGCAGGGCATTAGCAGATCCACGTTACTCTATAAACACTCGCAGAGACATGCTCCAACACAGACAGAAATAAATACTAAGCACTAAAAGCAAACTGAATCTGGAATTTTATCTTTACATTCAATAGAGAAAGCTAAACTGATCTCCCAGCTCTAATTAAAATAAGCAAACAAAACCCCTTGTCCCTTTCAAATCAGTCCTATTTGCACTGTATGTGACTGTGCCTTGTTTGGTACTGGTGGGCACTGATAACTAGGACATGTTCTACACAGTGTTCTGGCTTTGTCTGTGAGCAGAGGCTCAGGAAGGGAATACTTGATTAACTCAAGGAGGAAAACACTCCAGGAACAGAGTACTTCAACGCAGGACATTTTCCTAACATACACGGGGGCTGCGAACTAGAACTTCTCTCACAACATACACTAGAAGACTTTTACCCCTGGGTAACCTGCTACCAATGCCACCAGGCTCTGAGGTCTTCTGCCCTAATAAATGCTTTGTGCATATTTATAATTTTATCACTCGGACGCGAAAATCGGGTTCCATAAAGTATGGAAAGGTATCGATTCCCATTTTTCTTTCCTAACTTGGTAGTACATGATGCTACTCTACAAGAGACACTTCTGTACTACTTGGGTGTTACATCTACAACTCTGCAGGGAGCAGCTGCTACATCCTCATAAAACAATAAAGCAAAGTCCTTTAAGTATTTTCTGTAATATATAAACACACATACAGGCAGGTGGAAAAACATACACAAAGCACAGGTAAAGCATTTAGCACCTACAAAGCTACAATATTGACTTTAAAACCTCCAAGGTGGAAAAACAATTGCAAGGATCTGTTTACAAAACTCAGATTTAAAAATATATACGTATACTCATGTGTATATATACACTACTTAAGGCTTGTTTCAAACTTCACCAGGTGGCCACAGTCCTATGTATAGCTGGGGAAAATTTTTCACCGATTTTCAAGTGGACTGCCATAGTTAAGAATCAAAGGGAAAAAGGGACTTAGGGAGCTACATCTACAGCACATGTATTCAACTGGCTCCAACCTTGAGTGCTGCCTATTTCAATTTTCTGTAAGACAAAGACAACAGGGAAGCAACGAAAAGGACGAAGATATCACAAAAAAGAGCCTGCTTCAAAGAGAAGTATTTTAGGTAAAAGAACTCTGTGTTACACTTACAGCTACTCCCCGCTAGTTCTCAGAGCCCCTAAAAAGCACACCACCAACACAAGAAAATCAGACACCGAGCAATAGCATCTCCCGGGTGAAAAGCCAAATCTGAGTATTGGAGCATACCAGATAAACCCAGGTGTTTTTAATAATAACATGAGTAATACTAGCAGTGTGTATTTTTCAAATACAAATTAGTATACACTGACAAAGTTCCTACAGAGACATGAACTGCACAACTATGCAAAGACTCAAAGATGTTACCTAATTACCATCTAATAAATCTCAAGCAATCCTCTTGCTAATAGCTGAGTACAAAACGCCACGAAGTTGAGAGGTAGCTTGTAACTGAGGACTAAATCATTTTGTGGCACTCACTTCCAAAGCATTGCAACATTAAAGGCACACTATATGCTGGCAATGGGGTGTTGAATATATTTATTTTCATCAGAAGTACAAAAGAGAAAATGCGAATTGCCTTTTCTTCATTATTCACTAGAAAAGGTAAGCAGGGTGGTTTGGTTTATAAAATATATTAATCCTTAACCTCTAAGAGGTCATCAGTGGATCTCAGAATCAGTTTGCATTGCTTTCAGTAAGACTGCAGTGACACTTATAATGCCACAGAAAACTTATCAGCGTATTGTCTGGATTAGCACAGCCTTTCCACTTAAGGAAAAAAAAAGGGGGGGACGGGGGGGGGAGAAAAACATGCAAATAAAAGAAACACCAAACCAACCCAAACCCCAGTTGCTCATTCTAATTTGGAAGTTGCTAAATCTAGAAACTGATGCAAACAATTGAGTTTTCCTCCTCTCTCCCCTTTCCTTCCCAAGTGTTGTTGCGCTGCCTCAAGCACACCACAATTAAAAGCCATTGTTTCGGGTAAATTTGAAGTTGAAGCCAATAAAGAAAGGGCTGTTACAGCCTATTACAAGAACAATGGCATTGTAGCCTAAATTGATTAACAATTTAGCTTTGTTCATTTTCTCAATAAACGAACTGAGGTTAAAGGATATATCCTTGTAGGGTTTGCTATAAGCAAATGTCCTAATTTAGAGGCATAGAATAGCGATCAGCCACACAGGGGATAAGAGTAGCAGATAAACAAAATCTATGCACCTATTTCATGGATTTCGAAGGTGTAACAACTAAATCCCCTCTTCTGCCAGCTAGGTACCGCACTACAATTAGAGCTGGGAA